GCCAGAGTGAATATCTTGAGCACAATATATAAAGGAATGTAGACCATCATTGTCAATACATATTAAAGTCAATCCCTATTTATCACACTCTATAGACAAAAAAGATACATACAAGATGACCGATGTTACCCCATATATCGTCTCTATCTTGGAGAATCTCATTTGATGACTGTACCCACTAATTGCAGAGACATTTAGGCTCCACAGTGCAATGTAATTGTTGAATGAATGAGGAAATGCTACATAATGAGAGGGACGTAAACCAACCAATGTGTAGTGTTAGGCTAAGTTCATGATGGATTTATTTGAGTGATGGATTTATAATGGACACAAGTAGCACAACCAATGAAAGATATAGTAATATTCTTAACATCATCTAATTTCTGCTATTACACTGACATCAAATCTTCTATGTAACTCATTTCTGATAAGCCTCGAGTTAAAATGTGAGATATTGCCTTGATTCCGCAAATTGAAGGCAGAATCTTTCTGTTAGGAAAGTCCTAATAGACGAACTTTTACATATCGGCCTATAGGATGTGTAATTTCAAGACATTAAATACAAATGAAGTCATGTGACCTTCGTCCTGCTGCTTCAACCATACTTGGGAAATATATTTGACATGTTTGAGAAATCGCTAAAACATCCATGTTGCAACAGGCTCTATGTGGCCACTTTGTCCACCATGTGGGTCAAACGTAAGAGATATGCAACAATCTAGAAGATTCAAGTGGCCTTAAATGCAATAATATGGAGTGTTATCATACTATAATCTCATATCAAATGTTACTACCACTTGATGTGAATTCATATGGAGCCATTTCACATTTAAAACATAAGGATATATTGTGAAGTTACATAAAACAGAAATATTTGGCAGTACAGAGTGATAAGTGACATGCATTGGATGCAGATAACTCTCCAACAGTGCAGTCAGCATCACTAGGTTCAGGACAAAAAGGAAGAGAAACATGTAAAAAGGAACATGGGTGACACTTCAAGGTTAGGGAGTGTGGGTTGGGAAGATAAATGGGCAGTGAAAAAGATGGAATAATTGTGAAATGATGTCTGGTTGAAAGGACTATGGAGGAAGGGATATATCTTCTGGGTGATGTGTAGCGCTGTTGGAGTGTTCAACACACCTGCAATAATTCACCACTGGGATGAATACAAATGTCATTTGAGAGTATATGTGTAGAGCTCTCCGCATAGAAATGTATCAGGAGTGGCAGTACACAATTGGATGAAAAGTACATTAGTTATCAGAATCCAACAGTAAATAAACGACTTGAAATGACACTGACTTCCAATGCTATGTGGGCGGTTCTATAACCAAGGATGTTGGAAACATCACTGCAAGAGGTTGGAAGAAAGCAGGCAACCGAGGAGGGTTGGCAGGCATGAGTACTATCGCCTACACCAAGCCTAGATACAGGAACTGTATTTATGAAACAGTCATATATTTGGCTGATTCAATGGTGCTGATGCCATATGTGATGAACACGTAGATGTGCAGGAAGTGTTGTGTGTTGAGCATATGGTAGGATAATGATGCGGTATCAGAAATATGCCCTGTGGTGACATTCACTGCAAGGGACATCATACTAAAACACTGGGGGGAAAATGAAGCATGTTGATTGAGAAGGTCATTGAATATATCAACGCATGAAGGAAGAGGAAACAGGAAATTTCTCTTACAAGGATAGAATTTCCGCCTGTGCATTCAATTTGATCAACTGCAAAATTCCAAAGCAAGTGAGATATCATCAGAGTGTCAAACATCATGCAACAGAAAAAAAGACAAAGAGAGGGAAGCTTGGAGTACATCACAGATTGTTCGTTACATTTGTAGTTCTACAACATGAGCCTGTACACATCTGTTGCAATTGACATTAAATTTTATAGAATGGTGAACTTGTACTTTCATGGCAAGTTCCGACGAATAAATTAATTTTGAATGATACATATTTACAAGACCACAGTTGGGTCAAGGGATGTTAAATTCAAGAATATCTACTCTACAAGCTCTGTATTCCTGTGTTTAATATTTGATATTTGATGAACCTCCCCAGAATTCCTTGATATTTAGAAGCTGGCACTGTGCTTTAGCTTCCTGGGGTATGTAGACCTGACCGAAGCATAAGATGCCTATATAGAGATATCTATTCACATAAAATTACCCTTGATCACATGGGATGGACAGATTAATCTGGTAGCTTAAGCACATGAAGTATACTTTGTGCGCTGCAAAATTGGTTTAGTGAATTGTTTTCTCATGTAGTCCTGTCATATACGGCACAATACGTCCCCATAATTATGTGCTGCATTCAGTGGAACATGGTTAATGTGGTTAAATGAGTGGCATCTTTGCTGCCAGAATGGTGGACAATTTTATGATGAAGAACACCTGAATTTAAACGCCCTCATGATTATTGGGACTATTCACCTATTTTTATTTTATTTGTGTTGGTTCTGTCACATCTGTACCTCTGAAATCAGAGTCATCATATATTGGACATTCTCATGCCAGTGAGCCTTATGTCGATTTTATTTTCAATTATATTTATCCATTGCAATTATTTTCTCTCAAAGCTCTGTCGACCTTATACAATACTGTTTCCCCTTCTCATCCATGCCATATGCGATTTTTCTGTCTGTGTCTTCCATCAAAGACCTGTATCTCCTTTCTGATGCACGTAACTTTCTATTTGAAGAGTTTCTGCACGAATCTCAAGAAAAGACAGTGGGGCTTGGGGATATAATCCAGGTTTCCATTGCTCGCTCCCCATCCAATGATTACTATCCATCTTTAGTCAGCATTCAACAACATTCATACACCTTCTATTGCACTGTAAAGTGCATCTACAGGTTTTCCCTCACCCATGTCGCATTTACACTTGAACGCACATCCACCAAATTCCCACAAACCCTTTACATTTCCTGCAAATTTTCACGCCTTTCCATGGGCCACCAAGCCTTAGGATTGCTTATTATGCTTCCCAGATGTTGCTGGGGTGCATGTAAATCAATATGTGATGTCAAGCCAGTGCTACATACTAGCATTAGCAACAACATGAAAGCAGCTCACAGAAGAGTAGCATGAGCTATTTGCAGTTATTCTGATGGTGAATCCTCTCATCTTTATTTGATAGTAACACAGTCCTGACCTAATGTACAGACAGTCCACACTGCAACACTGGCTGAAAGCATGATATTCCACCATTTTAATCTCTTTATCAGAAAGAAGGTCCCTTCCCATCATTCCTTCATGCTGAATCCTGTTCATCACTTCTATGTTCCACCCACTTTCCTTGTCATGTGCTCCTTTTTCTTAGTCCATGTCACTCATTCACTACGCAGTGATAAGTCTGCTGTCTGAATCACTCATTAATGTGACTCCTAAATATTTTCACTCTGTCTGATTTCAGAATAGATGTCTGTCCATTATGATGTGTGATCTCTATAAAACTGTAACCTGATGTTGCACAAATGTGTCCCAACATGATATCACGGAATGCAAGTTCCAAACATGCGACACTTTGAATGGTCCGACTTTAAATTAAAATTTTCATGCTCAGCGGCTCAGATGATGAACCAATCACCCTTAATGCCCAGCCAGAACTCAGTCTGGTTGGACCAGTATGAATCTACAATAGTCTTAGTTACAAATATATAATCATGGACAGTTGGTGCCGATCTGACAATTGGACAAACACATAGCATGTCTTGCACTTCGTGTTCACAATCTCACATATTTGCCCACCTGGCTCACACATTTGCACTTGTGAGCCTTACCTTTGCACAGTCTAGTGCAGGAAAATTACGCCAAGTTCATTGTCCTGTTCTCCTGCTCTGTACTGTGCTCACAGGGTCTCAGTTTCCAGTGCTCCCTACAATTCCCAGTCCTCCCAAGCCTTCAAAAGAGTGTTACCTCAACTGTCTATGCTGGTGCCATGGAGTCTGCAAGAAAATGTCTCCCCAGACTTACCACAGACATACTACTCAATGTGCCCCAGTGCAGGCACACTTCAGTCAACACTGACATTTTGAACACGACCATCCTCTGACGAGTCACAATCCGGAGACACAGCCAGTTTTAATGCTTGACTGGTGACCTCAGTATTGCGACACCATCATTGGAGAGAAGATCTGAGTTGCATGAATTGGTTGGTCCATCTCATATGGTGAGTTGCTTCTATCATTTCACAATTTATAAAATTTTAACTTCAATGTAACACAGGAAAATGATTAATTCAGTTGAGCACCACATATGCATCAGTAGTTGCATGACTTTCACTGACACTAAATTCAACCTTGTTGAATGTGCCATCTGCAGTGAGCCATGCTATGGTCCCATCAAGTTCGCAAATAGCCAAGGCAAAGACAAAGTTCCAATAGGACCATATGGTATCTTAAAGGTTCCTTGTCAAATACAAGGTGGAAATGACTCCTGTAACACTGACTGCCCACTAGCAGGTATGTCAATCACAGCTGGAGGTAGCACAGAGATGTGAAGAGTTATGCATCTGAGAAAAACCAGCACCATGGCAAGGTAAGTAAACTATACAAAGGCTTCTGGCATTATGCTATGGGAATTTTTGTGTGCTTCATTGGCATATGGGAGTTAGGCACATAAAACAGAAGCATTTTACAAATGATTTTGAAGCATATGGGCGTGACCTCGTCAAGAACCCTGCGGATTATCAAGTACATCCATCTATAAATTCACATCTTCATATCTTATTCAATGGTGCACCTGCAGTTCTGGAAAGATCAATCTGCTACTGCCAGCAACCCCGAACCAAAGACCGATTAAATGGATGTGTTTTACTGCTCTCTCCTTCTCATGGTAGTAGGTAGCTGATATGTAGTGGTGTTTGTCATCTGAAATGCATACTGCACACAGTCTTGATTCTAGGACAGCCTGTCGTTACCAGTATACACTTGTCATTGCATAAGACTGCCCTCAGCCCAATATTTACTCTGTTTTATGTTTGAATCAAGGAAGGAAAAGCTATGCATACAATCAGTATGAGTTACACTATGGTCTACAGGTATATCTAGTACAGAAAAATAACTATCAGGGCAACAAAACGGTGAATACACATTAAGAACTGATTCAGCCATGTCTGAGAAGTCAGATATTTGTATCAGAAATATTGTCCGACAATCATACCTGGGTTGCGGCAGAAACCTGTTCCATACCAGTCTTATTTGTTGTTGGTGCTTCGCCTTGACCTGGGGTATCTGTGTGTTCCCCGACATATTTATTAGCAGTGGTGTCCTCTCCTGGACCTTCCATCACTGCGTCCACATCTGCTTCACTCAGGGGACCCTCTGAAAGCAGCAGGTGATGGGTCATGCACCATACACCAGGTACACCAGGAGTTGAGGTGATATCACTGAATATGGCAGATCCCATAAGGTCCAGGTCATTAGGTGTTTCTAACAAACACGATATTGAGTCCAGAAGCTTAGATCGCTTTTTATCTCCTCCCCCATCTTGTGCCTTTTGAGACATGTGATTCCGATTAATGCTTGCCTTAAGAAGGAAAAATAGACGTATGATGGGAGGAGACAAAGATATCTCATCCTCTCTCTTCCTTTTCACCTCTCCATCTTTCACCTCCTTCAAATCATCATTGATGTGATCATTATGTTCACTCTTGACTGACTCCATGTCCATCATTTCATGGGAGATAAGGTCAATGTCGATGAATTCAGGAGATGCAAAACATTTACTTGCATGACACCTATTGTCGGACACATGTCCAACATCGTCGTCCAAAATATATAGAACTTCATTTGGGCGACTTGCATGGTAAGACATGCATTGATCATCTTGCTCCAAATCCCTTGATTCAGTTGAGCCGTCAGATCCTGAAACAGAGGTTATAGAACCAACAGGCTTATATGCAGATCCTGTGCTTTTCTGTAGAGTCCTGGGATGGGGCATCAATGTGGGGGGTAGAGGGTCCAAGGATGCGGCATTTGGTTTAGAATCTGACAGTATGTTGGTCTCTTTTGCAGCCCTCCCAAGTGCATGTGCAAGATGAATAAGATGTCCAGGGCTCTCTTCAGTGTTGACCAATGCAGCATACAGGCATTCTATGCCAAGCGCCTCTAAGTAGTCATGCTCTGGCAGGTTATCATATTCATCTGGAGATTGCAGAATGAGTTGACCATTGAGAGGATTATCTATTGGAATTCCAACAAGGACACAATATCGTCCTATCATCCAAGCAAGCGGACTTGTGCTGACGGCAACCCCATCTCCTTCGGTAAATCCTCGTTGCATCAGATCATAGCTATGTTCCTGAGACCTGGTTGAGAGTGGCATTGAGACCTTCTGAAATAGTCGGTAAGGAATTTCCATTTGCATGGATGGCTTGAACACTTGCCTTGTGTTTCACCTGTCTATCACCAGCATCAGAATATGTTTCTGCTGCCATTTCAACGATCCCATCCTATCTGTCATTGAGTGATTTCTCTGTTTGATGAGACATCTCTGTTTGTTTAGATTTGACTCCATCTAAAGCCTCTGGAGCATCACTGAGAGGTTCATATCTTGGTGAGATAGTCAATACATCCAGTTTCTCGAGGGCCAGATGAGTGCTGCCCTTTCCATTACCATTTCCTTTTTCAGAGGCCAACCCCATGGAATGTGCATCATTTTGGACAATCGTGCTTGTCTCTTGCAACTTTATTAGAAGTGTCATCATCAAGTGTTGTGAAACTGCTCACCAGTGATGTTTGCCGGACAGCCTTCTGATTCTCACTCATCTGCGTATTTTCATGCTCTTGTTCCAAGAGTTTTTTGACCTTTCATAAAATTGAAAATTTACATTGCAAGTCTTCCATGGTAACATACTTTGCGGCTGCTAAGGACAACATTTTTTCCCTTCATGCTCTCTGCAGGTCCCTATTCCATGCAAAGCACAATAAATTTGTCATTAAACATTCATTTTGCAATTGTCGAGTTGCTCACCTGTGGTGCATCACAAATTACCTGCTTTCCCTTTCTGTTGTTTGTAGGTAACTGTGGGTTTGCACTTGTAGAACAACTCTCCTTTTTGGCTGTCCATGAAGCCTCCTTCTCTTTGACAAATCTCTCAATCATATTGAAGGTCTCCTTCCTGTGCTCTATACCTGGATAATCATCCAGACCACACAAATTCTCTTCCTTGCAACACAACAATTTGTGGTATTCCTTCTCCTTTCCATTGACTGATGACATTCATGATCAGTAGTATTACAGACAGATGTCTAGCGCTATGCTCACACTTCATTATATCAGTGACCTCTATGCGCTGAACAAAGTCCTGCCATGTGACATTGAATTTATCCTGCACCTTCCACACATTTTTACTGTTGAATGTGCCACCTGTGAGCACCATCACAACATGGGACATATCTTAACTCGACATCTTCAGCTTCGCCCTTTTTGCGGATGAAGTGATAATGAATGGCGATATCCTTGGTTCAGCTGTGGAAGATGGCATTCTTTGTGAGATATATGGTGGATTAATTATCATTGAGAAAAAACATTTCTGCAGTTAGGGAATTTTAAGTCCATCTAGAAGGGGAAAGGTGAATATTTATTCAGATTGCCTCCTTTGGAGCTGATGCTGCCATCATATACTCACAGCACCTCTGACCATCAGAACAAATGTATCTGGTTATCAAACACCAATTTTTTATATCTGATACCCAATCTACATTGACATATCCATGCAGGTCTGTCTCCTTCTTTCCCTTGAAAATTAATCACTTATTTGATATTTTACACAGATAGTGACATATATTTCGTACAAGGAAGGACAAGCATGCTGGATGCCATGTCCTGTCAAACAAATTAGCGGAACTGCCAACTGCATGTCTTTGGCCATATACATGAATGTTCTGGAGCATAAATCAATATGCATGACCCATTCAGACTGGTTGAAGGGTGTCTGTGATACAGAAGGCCATCATTGTAGACCTACCTGGACTAGAGATATCATGTACACTTAGTATAAACAAGCGGTGACCTTTGCTCATTGCTTTATTACAAAAGCAGACTTTTGTACACTATATTTGCACCAGTTTTTCTTCATTGCCTCTGGAAACTCAGCCACTTTTGACACAGAACATATGGTTGACCAATGAGCAAAAGGATCTGTTCTGAAACTGAGAGCTGTGCGAGAGAGTGAAACCTTGGCAGCTTTTGAGAGCAGTTGCAGGAATCTGTTTGCATTTCACTGTCCTACAGGAGCAGTAAGGATGAGGATAAAATGTGATTTGTGGAATACATTGGTTGAACCAACAATGTAGAGCTGTTGTTTGTACTCATGGTAGTCACCAGCTAGTGTTTATAACTTTATCATTGAATTCATCGCAAAATAGGTTTTGAGGGAAGAAGAAAGTACATTCAAGGCAAGCACAGCTACTGGTGGTATGTGCGGAGAGCATGGTCAATGTCTGTTCCACAGCCACGACAAGAATAAGCAACACATGATTGTCATCACCGACAGGTTCTATTGGCTCCTGTGAAAATAGCATGGGAAAGGTGCGACAAGAGTGGGTAACAGCAGGACAGTGAATATTGTTTGCATATAGAGGTAAAGTATGAGTAAGAGTGCGATCATTGGTCACTGCAGAACTAATGGTATTCATGGCGCGAAGCCCTCCAACACACCAACGGCAACCAACCCTGACCAGTAATCTTGTCATAGTTTGTTCCCAATTCCTTGCACAAGGTGTTGAAGGGCCATTCCACTTGAAGTGCTCAAAAGTCTCCTATTCCCCTAGTGCTGCCACATTCTGGTTCGAATCTGTGTTACAGGGATCTGTAACACCTACTAGAGCCCCAGCTCTCCCTACGCCTGCCCCCGCTCTGCTAGACTCCCCGCGCGGCGGTGCGCCGCCTGCGCCTAGAAAGACAGCGGTCTGGACCGCTATGACCCCGCCCCCTGGCACTATGACCCCGCCCCTGGCCTAGACGGCCTTGTACCTAATCCATGGAGGCTGTACGCCTCATGGACACCCTAGATCAGCGCATGTATACCACATGTCGCTTCATGAAGATCCGGAGCGCGCTTGGCACTTCCTGTACCTATGCGCAGCTGCCCTTGGCGCAGCATGCTTGATCAGAGGTTAAGCCTCATGTATCTTATCTGAACCTCATGTCTTGCTATCATAGATTTACGATATACTATTGATTACAGACTGAGCTAGAATACTTGTAGTACTTCCCTATAAGCAGACACAGATTATCGTACTTAGACTTTACTTTAATCTACTAGGTTCATCCCCAGAACTTGCTCATCTAAGCCTACCAGCTTCCTTGTGTGAGACCGCACTTCTAAGTCGCCCCCATACGACTTAGCACGTATCCGCTAGCCCTGCATCTCGACGAGCGCCGTCTTACCGAGATCGCCGGAGGAATCCTTGACGTTCCGTCAAGGCTAGACCACGCTCAGCTTCAGTAGACTCACTCGAGTCGTCGCTGAGAAGACCTATCCTAGTTCGCACACGCCGACCGATGGTCAGCGTAACAATCTGTGGCTACCTCTCTCGCAAGTGTTGTCATCGTGGTGGTAATGCTCTTCACTGGTTATACCATTCCCAAGCCCAACATTCCTGGTGAGCTGGATCATATATGTCAATGTGCGTTTCTGCATTGCAATTATAGGCTTGCGTGCTCACAGCTACTATGCAGCCTGTGCACTATGATTTTGAGGCTCTGCTGATGAACAAGTTTCACACTTTGAATGGCACTTGCTCTATGCTCGTCCCAGTCCCACATTATTTCATCACAAGACAGGCTGATTTCCTCATGTCTGGTATGTCAATGTTGGTTTGATGAGATTTATATTTAATCTCCTGTTACTTATTCCACACTACAAATTCATTCTTCAAAGTCTAATGTTCTTAATCTCAGGGACAAGACTGCATGCATCACCAATTTTGGACTATCAAGCATGCTTGGTGACCCCGGTTTGATGTACCTCACAGCCACTGCTATGTATCCAGGCACAGTATGATGGACAGCTCCTGAGTTCCTCCTATCAGATGATGTCCAGCCAATAACGCTCAGCGACATCCACTCCTTTGGAAGTATCATGCTCCAAGTAAGTATCCAAAACCATCCTCAGCATTTAGCAAAGTACCCTGGGACAAAATTAAGCAGAAAGTTATCACCATATAGGAGATCCAACAAGGAAACACTCCTCAATATCCATCTCACTCTCCCCTCATCATTGAACTATGGCCACTTATCTATGAGTGCTGGTTGTTATCACCAGCCTTATGACCCACAGCTGGCACCACCCTCGAATTCATCTGGAACATCAGAATTAAATTACTCTCATTCCCTGTAGGTGGCCACGACACACCAGGTTCTATCACTGCACACCCTATAAGTAGTCCCGATCCATCAAAAAGGCCACACTTGAAAATAATTACATAGGTATTTTGGACTATAATAATAATGGAATTTATTGGTGTGAGAGGTGATGGTTGTGGTGATAATGATGCAGACATACTTTTCACAGACAGGCATCCAGGATTTTGTTTATTTCTGTATTGACCGCTGCCAGTCAGGTGTGATACTCTGACTGTATTTCTGATTTTCCACATGCTCACTCAAAGATTTAGGCCTGAGCATTTCATGCGCAAATACATGTGGCCTAATTCCTGCCTCACTAGCGCCATGGCACTCATTACCCGCAAACACTGGTTTATAAGGATGGTTCACCCTCGAGCATGTCCCCTCCGTGCTTCAGGGTGTGGTACTTAAGCCTGAGGGCAACCACACAAGCTTTATCCTGCTGTAAGAGGTTAATGGTACCATTGAGGACACTTAGCCTCCTGGCAATCGGGAGAGTGATGGGGGAATTGCTGACTTCAACAGATGATCTTGTGGTTGACAAAGCCAGGAGGATGGTTGTCAAAAACTTGAAGGATGCAGCGGGGAACATGGCTGACTCAAAAGCAATGTCATACTCAGTGGTCTATTATATATGTGCTGGTGAACACAAGTATTGGGCATCTTGGTCATATATTAAATGTGTCCTCTCACAAAGATGATGACAGGATAGTGGTGATCTGAGTGTCATGAGTGCAAGGGTTCAACTTCCTGATGAAACCACACTGCAACACCGGAAGTCCCAGTGCGAGAATATGAGTGCAACAAGGTAAAGTCCACTTTGGAAATGGAGTACTTTGAGAAGCAGTCGCTGAGCCTCTCCAAAGTGGTGGCCGGGTGCCACCCTCTTCTGTGTTAAGGCTGAGTGCGGAAAACTTTGCATGCATACATCAGGCCTGTTTGAGAGTTTTAATGTTCATGTTCAGAGGGTGTTGGTTGCATGAGTATCTCTGTCCTTTTGTTTTGCTATGGACTGGGGGCGGAGTTTCTGTCACTTGCAGGCCCTTGTAAATTGCAACGAGGCCAGTGTGGGCTGGGATTGCAGATAGATGGTTGATGCAGTGAAATATTGGAGATGGGCTGGAAGTCCATTCACGAGAATTGAACAGAGGACTACCAGGTCTAGTTGGGGTTGTTTGTCATGGAAATATGCACAAATGGAGCAGGGACGAAACATACACGTTTACGAGGATGATAAGATGAACTGTTTCTGCATCGAATAAGCCAAGAAGTACTGCGGTTAGTATTTACTGATCAATGTATGGAGGATTGGCAAAGGAACAAAATGACAAGGCTCACAGCTTGTGGTTTTGCCCCAAGTCATTACATATTGACATTCATGCTATGCTGTCATAATCATTTGTAGAAGCAGATGAACTGTATCTAGTTGGGATGCTTGATGGTCCAGCTTCCAACTCAAGTACACGGAACATGGCCATACCATGCAGCTAGGTATTGGCACAGGTGAGCCTGTGGATATCGGAGGTTGGACCCATACCCATACCCGCCAGTTACCCATACCTGTACACTCAAAGGTACCAACACATACGGGTCTCGCTACGGGTAGCAGCAGGTAGCGACAGGTGTGCAGGTACTTAACAGGTAAGACACGCTGTAGAGATACAAGAATTGCTGGACACTACATGGAGTAAGTAACCAGCAATATAAAAATGTGTTGTGGTTGTGCACAGCCTAGTCCGCTATACTTGTAAGACAAGTGTGTTCAACCTGAGGGGTTAGCTGTTTGGAATGGTCTGTATTTAGTGAAAAAATAAATGGTCAAATGTCCGAGCATGATGTGAAGAAGATATGGTGACTGGCCAGCAAGAAAGCTAGAGCACCAATAAATCCTACTGAGTGCAGGTGTGCTGTCTCGACCCAAGAGGATTGCTATGAAGCACTTCCTTCAAGTAATATGCGAAGGGAGCAAACACAGAACGGAAAAGAACTAAGTCGACCTTGGAAAAGCAAGTCCGCTGGTAAGAGCGAAAGCGAGACCGCGGGTCTGGTGAGTGCGCGATGAGAAATGAACAAAAGTGAGAGGATCCTAGGTAAAGAGCGGTTCCGCAAGTAGCGGCTAGGTATAAACGAGGTTTGAGGCCAAGGCATAACTAGGTATGAAAAATGCTAAGTCAGAAACCAAGAGTGGTTCGGATCTGCGCAGAGCCTAGGTAAGGAAACTTAGAGGCGTGTTCTCGGAGCGGTCAAGAACACACGGGTTCGAAGTGAGAAGTGAACACAGCTTGTCAATTGATCAATAATACTAGGAACGTCTAAGTGACTCCGCAAAACAAAGGTAGTGTCCGAGGGAAGGGAAGTACTGTACTGTATGTAGCACATGAGACTTTATCCTACTGCGTGAGCGTCTGGAACCCGTAGGCGAGAACTGTAGTGATGAAACGAGGCAGATAAGTAATATGTAAGGAGAGAGCGCACGGAACGGAATACGCGGTTACATGTAATAACCCTTGATAGTGTTTAGTCAAACCGAGTGAAAATGAACATGCACCAACGGAGATAGGTGCACATGGAAAGAACATGGACAGAGGACAGATCCGAGTGCGGGTGTATGCCAGTTGGCTATCAGCCGAAGGAACTTTTTAGAGTAGGACTGGAATGACATGGATCCAACAAGTTTCCATAGACCTTGACATAAGTATCAAAAGACACTTGTTCCCACCCAGTGCGGGTCCAAGTGTCACAATGGGAAACAAAGTCTGAAGGTATATCTACAATGTCCGATGCCAAAGTGTCAGGTCCAATGTTTTTGGGTTTTGGGTCAGCGGGTTTTGGGTGCAGGTTTAGCGGGTTAGCAGGAATTGCGATAGCGAATGTCAGGAAAGCAAGTGATATGCGGATTTAATGATAATGACGGGTATTTCGGATAGAAAAAGTGGTAATATTCGCAATGTCAACAAAGAACTATGAAATATCGGGTTTGACCACTAAGTATTGGGAAACGGCTCCCTACTACTTGGATGATGAAAAATACTCAAGGTCAGTCCAATATATATGTAAGTACGTAGAAACCCGGAAACCCGTAGGCAAAAGTAGCGGCCGAAGATTTTGGGTTCAAAGTACATGTAAACTAACATGAGGTGCTGCAGATGATGGGAAAACATGTAATGGCACTGGCTACAATGTGAGTAATGTGCAAAACAATCAAATATGCACCTGGTGGGGCTAGCAAGACAGGACAGAACATGGATAGGACAAGTGCACAGGATTTTGGGTCGGCCAATGCAGCCGAAATGTCAGGTCCACTAGTCAAAGTGTCAGGTTTGAGCGGGTTGGCCTCAGGTTACATTGGGGAATGATTGGCAAGTGACAGGCATTGGACATGTATCGAGAAATAAGAGAATATGTGCTCAGCACAAGCTCAAGTGCTACAATGCCCAACATTGATGGATGTAGCTATGAATGCACAATTACAAATAGTAGTAGACGAGACAGAAAAAACATGCGGACCTTGTAAGTGAGAGAGATGAGCTGTCCACATGAGAAAATATGGTCCAAAGTGCCACCTGCAAGCATTTGTGCCATGGTGGAATTCGTGAATGGTAGTGGCTGGGAGTGTGCAAAGACGCAGGTGACATGGCAGACACTTGTTGTGAGGCTGCGGTTGATGGTCTCAATACCAAGCGACATCAAGAAGTAGGAGAACATGAGAGATGGGGCATGACATGAGATAACAGGTGGGAGATAGTTAGCACAAGAGAACAGGTACAAGAGAGCAAGCATGAGAAAATGGTGCAAGAGAGCAAGCACAAGCGAAAGAGTTAGAGCGAGCATGAGAACGGGCGCCAGAGACCAGAAGTATAGATCCATAGACATCGATCAGTTCACAAGAGAATGGGTAGGCACAAGAGATGGTAGCTACAGGAGTGCAAGATGCTTGTGTCACCAGAACTGGTTCCTTTTAACTCCCTCATGACCTATGGTGAACTCCAGTGACGACATACTCGCATGGGTTGCACGTGCCTGTGCCAATGCCTACATGCAGCATACATTCAAGCACAGGGGAATCAGCAAAGAGAAGATCCATGCATGGTTTGAGGTGACATCATTGAGGCCGCAGTGAGGCGTTAGAATAGAAGCAGTGCGCATATATGTAATACACCATGTGGAGAGATAGTAAGTACACTGTACGAGAAGGGGTGAACTGAACTACTAAGTGTTACCTTGAACGGAAATTCAGGTCATAAACAGCCACAAGGATGGTAGTGGAAAGAGCAGTGGGTAAGTACTTGTTGGGGAGCCACTCAAGTTCAACTTGTTAGAGGTGAGGACAACCTCAACACTTTGCGCAAAGGTGGAAAAGTGGCAAAGGATACCAAACAAAGGACTTAAAGAAAATCGAACATGCATAGATCTCGTCGACAATGTATTGCATATATCATGTAGATACAAACACATTTAAGATGCACGGTATCTATATCAGGTTGGAATGTCACCGACATGATCTGACAGCGACTTGTCGAGCACTGCTAAACTAACTGATTTGACTGCAGATAGACACACTTATAACCTGTGAATGGATGGACAATGAAGTGTGTCAGAAATAGAGGGCAGATGGACAAAATCATCATATGTTAACTCAGCAAATATTCAGTCAGTATTGTGCGAGGGCAACAGAAAATCAATACACTCACCCTGACACAACAAATAATTAATTGCATTAAAGAGTGGCCGGATGATTATGACAGTTATAAGCTATGAATATATTGGTGATTCTTCAGTCAGTGCTAAAGATTGATAGTGGATCAATGACAGACGTCATGACAAGAACTGATAAATCGATTTGGTCAGAAGTTCTTGACCTTGACAAAGAAGCAATTTGCTCATGTCTAAACAATGGACACATGTTAGCTTAAATCAGCGAGGCTCAAGCTTATAACAGGATAGACTCACTCACATTCTAAGAAAGGTGGGAAATGACTTCTGAGGAAATTTGAAACCTCAAGATCTGGAAAAAGTGAGAAAAGACCTTGATCAGGACGGCTCAAGCCCAAATCAAAGGAGATGGAATGGGCTCTCATGTTTCACCTGATGGGGTGTATTGCCTGTCATTATTTCACTTCTGAAAAAGTATTTCATAACTTTGTACACACCTGTCTGTTACTGCTACATTAACGAATATACGATACTTTTGTGCTATAGAAGTCCGGGTGTTACATGAGATATTGAACATTTGAATATATTGTCTGGCATGCTCGAATGAGGGTGTGTAGATCTACTAAAGCGTGTATGATATCCAGACAATGCCTGGAACCACTTCACATGAAGGACAACAATATCAAAGATGCAGGCTCATGTTTGGACATGTATTCATCCTACTGTGCTTATTATTAGGACAGAGATACGGAAAATATATTATACAAATGTCTGCTTTTGTAGCAGTGCCAATAAAACTCAACGAGCAAAGGTCATCTCTTGTATTTTGATAAGTACTCATGAATACACAGAAAGTGTCACGAATGCCCTCTGTACCAACATATGATATTATGTATATACCCATTGGGGGTTTTGAATGAGTTTGTGATATATTAGTGTACATTGCTTTATCTATCTACATATCCATAATACATCTATTCAAATGTCCTAACTTGTTCTCCAGTTCTCTATACCACTCGTGCATCTCCCGACCTTCGCAATAATGGTTTCAGACATCATTCATCTCTTCCTCTAGTCTTGCTGTCTCTGTTTCCTCTGATATGGCAGAATATTGATCCAATCATCTGGCCTGCAATCTAAGACTATCACTTCATCGTCATCTTCTGTCCATTTGTGTTTTGTCTCATTCGGCTTGTCAATCTAGTCAGAAGGCCTGTGATCTAAAACTATCATATCGGAGGAGTCAGAAGATTCAGACTCCATGCCGGATGCATTGTCATTGGAGGAGCCAGAAGATTAGGACTCCGTGCCAGATGTATTGTCATCGGAGGAGTCATAATATTCAGACTCTGTGCTGTTTGCATCGGCAATAGCTTGTTCTTCATCAACTGATGCATTAACACTTTAGTATAGAAGAAAATACATAAATAAATGATCACTTACCACGCTGGCACAGCTGTTGACATGCAATGCATGCTTTGCCTGTTCATCCTCAGCAAATCCTTTTGGTGTCCCTGCAGTGATTGCAGCGCGTACACATTTTGCGAACTGCACACATTATGGGGGTGTGCCTTGGGGGAGTTCCTAACATTGTTGATAATTGTTAGTGAAGAAGAGAAGTACAGTGATGGCGTACCTGGTAACAGGGAACAACAGTCACAGCATCTTCTGCATGGCAATCCAGAACAATATGCATAGCATGGCATGTTGTCAGCTATGCAGGATGCACATCCCGGCTCTATCAAGGTAAGCTCTGGTGCTGGAAGCATGGATATCTGATGAGAATTGGGAATAGAGAATTGACAGGTCAGCAATGAACCTTTAAACAGGGGAGTAATCAATGTCCACAGTGGACATTCCAAAATCTGTCTATTATATTTTTGCACCCGAAAATATCCACAGTGGCTGTCCCAGATTCCATTATGCTACACAATGTCAGCAGACACAATTTCACAATTCTATCCATCATGCAACATGTGGATATTAATTATCATAAATGTAAGCTTGACTGCCATTTTATACATAAATGTATTAGCACTCTGATGCGATGGGTATATTTGAATTGACTTTATTAAAACTACATATATATGATGTTTACAGTTTGAAACCAGAGGACAGCTTAGTTTTTTATGGTACACCACAGGCTTCAGTGGATGGAATGAGGAAGAATGAGGGTTGTGACGCGATTGTGATCTGCTGAGATTTTGGTGCAGGTGAAGCTGATGAGCCAAACTTATTTCAGATGGATGCTACTGTGGATGTCATTCAGGACGCCCATTCAGACAACTCAGTTTGTACACTATCTTAGAGGCATTTGTGGATGCAATGAGAAAACATGAATTTTATGAGGCAATGGTGAGCTCATGCACATCATAAAATAAGAACCGAAGTAGATGGAACTGTTTCAGATGTCTCACTTCATGGGATGTATTGTAAGTTGTTAGCCCATTGCTCACAAAGTATTCCATAGCTTGGTACATAAAACTCTGTTACTGTTACATTAACCAATACATAATACATTCATGCTATAGCAGTGCAGATATCACATGAGATATTGAACATCTAAATATACTGTCCCATATTGTAGGATAAGGGTGCGTAGATCTACTGAAATGCGCGTGATGTCCTTCCAACTCCTGGAACTGCTTCAGATGGTGCACAACAGTATCAAACATGCGTATTCACATCTGGACCAGCCTGTATCAATCAAACAACTTGGGATTGACCTTCTCAGGACCACTGCAGAACCAGAGAAATGCTTCTACCAAATTATTGTACCTTCCTGCATCTATGGAATCTTTGACAATTCATGCCACAAAGTCCTCATAGCTTGCCAAAGATGCTCCTTTGCTGATCTCATTTATCATTAATTGTTGAAATCCTGGGTTGTACCACATGCAAAATACTGCCTTGAAAATGAACCTGGTGAATGGACATTTTTCACCTTTCCGGTAAGAAAAACCTGCATAGCATGCTGGCTCCTCCCCATCTCTGTTTTGTGATTGGGGAAGGCAGCATTGAAAGCAATAAGTGTAGTGTTCGAACGAGAAGCTTAGTTTGAAAGCTCTGTACAAATCCACCGGAAGAGCAGAGTCCATGATGCACCTGTGGTTCACTGCTGGGACAAGACAACCACCATTACCAAAGTGTGATGAACACTTGTCCTTCAAGACCTTCATGTACTTGTCCAGGTGAGCAGTGCTAGATAGACAACTATAAAGTGAGGTGTTTACTGCAGTGGCTCTTGATATGAATGTACTAGATCCACTAGGAAGTGATGAGGTCAATGGAGGTTCAATCTGTACAGCCCTTCCTGGACATGGCTGTGATTTCATCTATATAAACAACCAAGTACAATAAAATGGAATTGTAACACATGCATACCATATGTGACCTGTCTGAAGATTCACCATTACCCTAAAACATGTCCAGAATTAGCTGCCATACCATATCACACATAAAACATACTCACCTTACCATGGAGTTCCTCCATGGCATCGAGCATCAGAGCCTGAAATGAAGTGGGCTCTAATGCACCCGTGTCATACAAAGCATCGCTTAACTGGGAAGGCTGTGGGGTGAGCATGTGGGACTGTATCATTTGAATATAAACATACAATAGGATTATGGGTGTATTTAAGCACTCACAATTGTATTCATCGAAAGCAGCAATGGTGCTGGCACAAATCCAGTAGATATAGGCGGAGAAGCATGCGTGGGTCCTTGAAGCATAGATCCACTTGCAAAACCTGGGGTGACTGTGTGCTCAGATGCCTTGGGTGGCCTGAATGGATTTGCTATTACCTCAATGGACAGTCGCTAGATCACATTGTTTGGATCACAAACATTGCACTTGATCCCTGGAGGGTCATCCATACATCTCACAGTGAGGTTGTGGTCATCCATGCAGATCATATTGGTGAAGTGCTGACATTCTGTACCGTGGACTAGCTTGTCCAACTCTCCCATACATTGGTCAGTAGATGGTTTTCTGTATGTCTTCTCATGTCTTTCAGTAAGGAAAGATATGTGAGACTCCTTTCCATCTCTCCCTGCACAACCGAGCATCTGGTTGTTGACGAGAAGGCTGTACGAAGGCTTGAAGATCACCACATATCAGACATGAGGCTTGTCCATACCCTGGGCAAATGCTGTAGTGCATGACATCACCTTTGTTTTGCCTGAATCCTAGCAAGGAAGGTTAGATGCTCTGTTATTTTTAGCCTCCCAGAGATCGCTATGATAAATGGCACATTTGGCCTTCACTGTGAATGCTTGTGTGTCGCCCTGGGAGCCACAGAACACCAGAATATGTTCCTCCTCAGTAAGTCGTTTGCATAAAGCGGAGACGAGGTGTCCCAGAGACTGCATGGCTGCGATAGGCTGAATACGTATGACATGCATCCCGATCTCTGGACGGTTTGTATCTGATCGTACTTCGGTGACGAGGCCAGGATGCAGGCCGAATGGTTTGATGAAATTTGCGACACGGTGCGGTGGTCCCGTCCCTGTCATAAGAACGATCCTGATGAGCGTCTTTCCAAAATGCTGCGCGAGATTTTTCCATGGAACAACACGGCCTGGATGACAGTTCATGATGTCGTGGAATTCGTCTACAAACACCCTGCTGAACTTCCGCCCGAGTGGAGACTTAAGAAAGCTATCGTTAAACCGTTAGCCATTTCCAGACTTTAGAATTTTCCAGCTACCTTTCAAACACTTGGGACGAGCAATGCTCTACCTGCACGAACAAAATCTGGACATTCTCCGGAACGACCTTGGACACGCAGTAGTTGTGGCAACGTAGTCCAGTAGAAGCGGTATCCATGAACTGTTGGTCCAGCAGAGCCATGAATGGGCACACCACAATAGACCTATCATTTTCATCTATCACTGATGGAATCATCCATGACATGCTCTTGCCGCCTCCTGTCTTATTGTGATGATGAGGTCCATGTGCACTGACATTACTGCAATTAGCATGTCCATCTGAGCAGTGTTCTTTTCTCTTGCAGAATTGTTCTTCCTGATGTGTCTTATCGCTCATCTAATTTTCTCTCAAATGTCCTCAACAGTACTTGGAGGCAATGATTGTATACCAGAATTAGCGAGTGCACATTGTGATGTGCTGCAGTCACCAGATAACAAGCTAGGCACATCAATCAGGATGTGTTGGACTGATGCTGCTGTCATATAGAGATGTTTGATTGGCATGTTCTTGTCTGGGCTCAAGTCCTCATCACTGATAGAGAGGATGATAACATCCATAGGCACCTGTGTTACTAATTTTTTCGACCCATGAAGGCACTTCAGCTGTATGGCATCAAGACCCGACAAGTCCTCGTCACTGGAAATCTCCATCACCTCTGCAGACAACCTGCGAATGTGTTTCGTAAGACTAGAGGATTCCTCCACGCGTTCAAATGATCGTTTGTCCTGCGGTGCGTACTTGCGAGTGCGGTGTGCAGTTGGTGTGACTGGGTATGGAACAGACATAGACATGACGGAATGGTGCTGCGAGACACTACGGGGCGCGTGTTTTCTTCTGGAAGGTCTAGCCGGATTGGCGGATGGTCGGGAATGGACACTCTCATGAATCCCTACGCTTCCGTTTCCCTTTGATGTCTGCGATAGGAGATAGAGATGAGGACATAACACTATCAACCGATGGATTCATTGCGTGGATGATATGATGTGCTTGTGATGGCGGTGTCTTTGCTGGTGTTTCGTAAGCTCTGCCCTTCCCTTTGCGATCCTTTATCAGAGGAAACTCGGCCTGATGCATTGTTTTGACCACATCGGAGAATGTCGTGGACCCCTCTATGTATTCGGTCTGTGAGATACTCGTTATTGACGATACTGGGATTGGGGAGTCCGAAAGCATTGCCCCGCATTGAATATAACCGCTTGCGGTGGGCGACACAACAACAGAGGACGTGTTAACTGAAGAATTCAATCAGTTTTAAATTCAACATCATTGGAGCTCGGACTTACCACTGTTGTTATTGTACCCACTGGGACCAGATGAGGCAGCAGGGTCTCGCCTGATACCTGCAAAGATAATGAGATGTTGCTGTCAACACAACGCATAGTAGTGCTCACCGTCGCTTTCGTCGTAGAACAGGGACTCCATATTACTGCTCAAGTGAAATGACCCCCCGTTCCAGGTGGTTGAAAGTGGTGATGGAATTTCCGGTGCATCATCCATCGCGTCTTTTCGCTGTTGGATTGCGGCTGTAGAAATTGCGTCCTTCAAGATGTCAGTGCGGTGTGCGTCCAAAAATTCTTTGATAGTTTCTTGCGTGGTCTTCTTGACCACATCTGCGATGGCCTGGAGCGTCGTCCCATTGGACATATTCTTGCGCCTGATTCTGATTGCCTCTGGAGGCGGATAGGGGCCAAGACCAAGGACACTGTGCCACTGATCTCCAAGCCATCTGTGCTTGGACATGCTGTTGTTGGACAATCTAGGGACGACTCCTTGGATGATGGCGTAGTGGGCATGGTCCACACCAGTGGAGTGATCGGCGGATTCAGCGAGGATGTTGTCGGCTTGATCATAAGAGTCGTCTGGAGCGATGAATTCACGACCGATGGTTATCGCGCCCTGGCGGAAATCTCTTACTCCCCATCGACAGTCGAAGTAATCATGGTTCCACTGCTGAATGTTGGCGGAAAACCTTGTAGGACTGGTTCTCTCGCCCTCACCGACGCACAGGTACCTAAAATCATATGAATGAGTCGTGTCCAGAATAATGCATGGTTCAGGACAATGCTCACGTCCTGTACAAATGCTCGGCCTCTGCTCCATATGCAATCCCAGCAAGGATAGCTTCCGCAGTGCGCAACCCCCCCGCGATCATTTCGAGGACCAAGAATGCGATGTCCTTCGGAACAAATCCTGGGGTGCACGAGTCTCGATCGGTGATTCCAGTCCTTTTGCTGTAGGCTGTCAGGAGGAACATTTCCATCCCCTGCATGAAGAGGTTGCGATGCCTGTCCGAATTGCTAATCTTGTGGTCTATGAACTGAGTTCCGCGACATGAGATGTGGGTGGTGATGTAAAGCAGATGGTAGAGAGGCTCCCAGACGCACGACGAGCGTCTGAGCAGTTCCTTGATGCCGGGGATGTTCCATGCGAGTCGTCCTGCATTGTCGACTATTGCCAAATCGTAGTGATCCACCAAGTGAAAGAACAAGGCATGGCGATTTTTAAAAAAGGGTCCTCCGATACGAACGAATAGCCACGCGTAGAGCTGGTGAGGTCGTCCTTGACATGCTCCGGCACCATCTTCAACATGAAAACGTGATTAGTGAGGGCGGAATAGCGCGACTTTGACACTTGGAGGAGCCTTTGTATTCCGTCTCTCAGCTTGTCCATGTGCATGGTGTGGACGCCTATCGTGATGGATTGAACGTCTGGATCGACATAGACATTGGGTTCTCTGGTTTGACTGAACACCAAAGAGGATGCATATTGCTGCATCTCATAGATGATATTGAACGTAGTCGGACGGCCGAGGCGTAGCGCCCGATCATGAACACGAGCAACGCGGCTTGAGATAAAAAGGCATGATAAGTGTGTCGAAGCGAATGAATAGGGAGGCGTGCTCACTCATGGTCGTCGGAATGCACTGAGTCCGTATCCTCATCTTTGTCCATCAGCGCCTCGAGGAGGGAGGTGACGTTGCAAAGATATTTAAACTTTGCAAGATCTGGTGTAAGGACGGACGCTTCACAGAAGTTTCCGTCCGCACGCAACGCCCTGAGCCAGATGGCTCGTTTGATAGGGTTTGCCCATCGCTGGCCCATGCACAAATCTGGATCTGTATCGACTAGGGACCACGCCAAATTATGGTAGAAAATCATTCTCTTTCGTGGGGAGGCATTCTCGTCGCCCAGGACAGTCACAAGTTCCTCGAGACACAGGGTCTGCGCAGCAGACAGCTCGAACGAGAAATCCAATGGGAATCCGAGGTGAATGCGCATGATGTTCCTCATGAATTGAACAACGAAGTTTGGATACTCGATGTTTTCATCCGACACAGGCCTCCAATGATTGTCCCTAGATGCGTCCATCACAGTCAATGATGGAATTATTGTGGCGCGATAGAACTGCTCACGTTTCTCGCGGTATTGCCTCACCATACAACAAAATCTTCGACAGGCTTAACCGGTGAGGATGACCGTCCAAGATGGTGGATGCCCTAGTCATGTGGTCTCGCACTGCAACAGCCAGACAGGTAAGAATGCCGCCAAATTCATCATCACTATGCTTTTTTTTTATTTCTTCTGCTGCCCGCCTCTGCTTGGGATTCATTCGGATTTCTACCTCAAACTTGTCCCAACCCATGAAGCGCATCAGGGGGGTCCTCTCCCGTTCGGTATTGGCTGGAACGACCAATGAAAGGTCGACTGCAGGTAGGAATGTAGCCTTCAGGGTGGATTTTACATCGGGTCTGGCAGATGGAAGGACGTTCTGCCCAACCTCAAAATAGGAGTTTCCAACAGCGGTAAAAATGTGTTGGACCTGACAGGACCGATGCTGGATCTCCTTTAAGCCAGTGGCGCCGTGCCTCTCTCTGGCATGGCGCTGAATGGTTCCTAAATCCTTGACGGCATACACGCAGTCAGCGGATGCAGTGCATGAAAAACCTTCAACTGGAGACGCAATCATCTGTACAGGGGGTCCACCTGCTTTTGGTAGCTTGACATGCTCCGGCTTCTCGTGAACATTCGACTGTGAACAATATTCTAGGAATGACACCATGGTTGCTGAAGGCACCTAGTAGTCACGTGGGATGTCCATGTCACATTCGAGATGGACTGTGCAAGACATGAGCGTACCTGATACACATGATGATGCTTTTTTCTGTATCCAGAGACCATTCCGGAGGTCAATGCGGCCTTGCACGAGTAGCAGATAAGGATCCTCAAATGGCTGTGAAGGCACACACCGAGAGAATCTAGAACCTTGTTGGACATCAAGTAGTCTACTGAGGGCGACAATGAGACAGTGCTGCAGTCCACATCAAAGGAAGGATGTCAGTGCGACTTGATGCTCGCTTGGTGTCTCATGAAACTTACCAAACTCAGGAGTGTCAAAGACCTTGATTCTGACCGATTTGTTATGGATGATGTTGATGTGATTCTGGATAGCTTCACACTTTTTGAAAATGATCTTACACTCTGGGAGCGGGCAGGTATAATGCCCATCAGATTGGCTTACGACATGCTCATTCCCATCAATCAGGAATGTGATAGGGACAGAGTGGTAGCGGTATCAGTACTTTCGTGTGATCTCATAGGTTGGGAATGGTCCCATGCCACATCCTAGATGGTCACAGATGTCATTGTCAGACATTTATATCAGTAAGCAAAGTGTATGCAATGATAGATTGATAGATGTGATAATGTATCATTGGATGGTGGATGAATGGCGCTGGCAAGGTTTTATCTGATTTCAAACATATAGGCCTGCACCTGCAGGGACAAAAGAAATACCTGAAGGTGTGGCATGGTGACAAAATACGATGGACTAATGACAGCATTTATGAAAATATCAAGAAAAAAAATAGAAGATGGTGATCTCAATGTACAGTAATTGGAGGAAGGCAATTTCAATTCTGTTTCAGCACTCATGATATGTGAGGTTAGGCCATAATATGCGGAAAATAAAGGTTGATGGTCACCAGAAATGAGTCTTCTCATTCAAGGTTCTTCCCATGAAGAGACGTGCTTGTCTGTATGCAGTTAATACAATTGAAGTGCCACCTAAAAAAAAACTCTTTAATGTAGGAAGGAATGGAGAGTACGAAAAAAAGACACAATGTTCGGTGACATTTGCATTATCGTCGCGTGTCCAATCATGTTTTGGATGGAAGGGACTCGAATGACAGCCATGAACATCAGATGAAAATAAATATTGTTTGTGGATATATGCATTGCACCCAATGGTGGAATAAAGCTATTTTTGGACAGTTGAATATTTTGCATGGGCTGAGCGCACATTTACTTTCCATTGGTTGCAAATATCTCAGCAGAATCCCTCCACAAGTAGTCACATCTCACGACTCATTGCATCAATCACCAGAAAGTCCATACTTGGACACATCCTTGGTTCAAACAGGGATTGCCAAATTATATGCATGAGCCGTCAACCCTGCTGAAAATGCTCGAATAGCACATGCTAGTGACTCATCAAGGGCTTCATGGATCAGCAAGTGACCTAGAACATGCAGGCATCTCAGATGTTCTATGCATGCGGACGTGTTCTCCCATGAACTGATATTCTGTGGTGCACATGTGATAGAAATGAGTTCACAATATCATCCATCACAAGCGACTCGGACAGGGCAACACCTGAAAGTCAAAATAAGTAAGGGTGATGGGTTGATGCCTGATTATAAATAGGTGAGGGTGATAGGGTGATGCCTTAAAGTCTAAATAAGCGAGGGTGAGGGGATGACACATCCAGAAGCGACTTGGACAGGGTAATGGGGTGATGCCTGGATAAGCAAGGGTGATAGGGTGATGCCTAAGATACTGTATAAGGGAGGTCATGATGTGATGCCTATAGATCTAAATGAGGGAGGGTGACGCCTATAGATCTAAATAAGGGAGGGTGATGCCCAAGATACTGAATAAGTGAGGGTGACGGGGTGATATTTGTAGCACCAAGGACCATGCCAAGCACAAGGAAAATGAATTGGGATAGTTCCAAGAGGACATATTGGCAGATGGGAAAGAAGCAAGGATGATGGACAGCCACTTACGACACCTCATGGGAAAAAAAGGGGTGACACTGACAGCGCCAAGGACAAACAATAGTGGATGGGAAAAAAAGGTGGGGTGATGGACAACCACTTATGTGATAGACTTGCATTTGTGGGCGGGGTGACGGGGTGACACTTACAGGGGTGCGCCCGTCGGACCAAATAGATAGTGTGAGCCATGACACGGCTATGAGCTGGTTTAGTGTCCTACCATCCTCCATGCCAGACCCAGCCAAAAAAATGGCAAATTGGGCAAGAGAACTTTCATAGAGTCCAGAGCTTCCTGCCTCTCCGATCAGATGGAAATCATGGCAGGACAATGATTTGAACCTAGTCCTTCCCAACTCCAGGGGGAGAGGGGGGGGACGTCTCAACCACCAGACCATCCAGTCATTATAATGAGAGCCAAAGATGTAAGGAAGGCGAAGGTAGTAATTTCACGACTGGTGCATGTCTAGAATATATATCAGAAGAACAGGTAACACAGACTCTGCTTTATCTTAACTCACCAGTATGGGTTCACCTGTTTTCCAGTTCCATACAGCAAGCTCTAAAGTCTTGTCTTCGATTATAAACAAGATAACAAGGAACTCGCTACATGTTTGGATGCTAAGCTAAGATGGAAAGACCATGCTATAGCTAAAGGCACAAGTCATGTTCTTCAGCTAAATGGCCCTATATGAAGAGATAGTCTAGTAGTCAAGACATCTCCCAGGAGTCAGGAAGGACTAGGTTCAAATCCTTGTCCTGCCATGCTTCCCATCTGGTTGGAGAGGCAGGAAGCTCTGGACTCTATGAAAGGTCTGTTGCCCAATTTGCCATTTGTTTGGCTGGGTCTGGCATGGAGGATGGTACTATTAATGAGAGTACATGAGCTGTATATATATGTGGATGGTAAGGGACCTTGGGCATAGAGGATAAGTTTTAAGATGAAAGAAAATAATGGTGTATGAGTGTAATGTAAGTTTTAAGATGAAAGAAAATACTAGAGACTGATAGTGGTGTAGGAGCGCAATAGTGTCCTACCATCCTCCATGACAGACACAGCCAACTTAATGGCATATTGGGCAAGAGAACTTTTGTAGAGTCCAGAGCTTCCTGCCTCTCTGACCAAATGGAGGGACTTATGAGGTTGGTATGGGTGGGACCCTTGTATGGCCGGAAAACAGGTGAACTAATACTGGTGAGTCGAGATAAAGCAGAGTTCTTCTGATATATATTCTAGACATGCACAAGTCGTGAAATTACTACCTTTGCCTTCCTCCCATCTTTGTCTCTAACTGTAATGACTGGATGGTCTGGTAGTTGAGACGTCATCAACAAAAGTCATGTTGGTCAGTTCAGTTGACTGGCGGCCTCTGTTCAAGTTTTATTTTTTGTGTCTTCATGTGATTGGCCAGTCTTGAACCAGGACTTGTTTTCAATATTGTAGAACCTGCTAAATGGACTGGAAACATGTGTTTGTCCATGAAAAATAACCACCCCTATTGTGCTGCCTCCGCATTTTTTCTGCTTATGTAAGCAGGCCCACCTCAACCAATGATTGATTTTTTTAACCTTCATATGACTTGCTTGGCTTCAAATATACCTTTAATTTGGGGTTCTCTAAATATGATGGTGATGCCCTTTTTGTTCAAAAAAATCACATTCCAAAGTTATGGATGTCTGTAATGCTGAGGTCCTCAACCCAAGGTCGATTGTTTCAGCCTTTATATGACTTGATCTCAGGCTCATCATCGAGGTGATTGATAGATATATATTCAGCAGCAACAGAAATATTTGATCTATCAAGTCTTGTTCTAAGTGTGCTCAAGTCCACCACTTCGCTTATGTAAGCAGTGTCACCCCTCTCATGCTGCCTCACCCAATGATTGATTTTTTCAGCCTCCATTTGACTTGCCTGGCTTTGAATAGAACTTGATTCAGAGGTTATTGACCAATCTGAATCTGATGGTAATACTTATTTTGTCCAAAAAAATCATGTTTCAGAGTCATGATACCCCCTTCCCCCACCTACTCCACCAAGAAGCATGATTTTATATCAATACAGATGTGCTAAGGGATGTTCCTAGTGTATAATGATGATACAAATAGATTAGAGATGGATTTAGAGTGTTCTGAACCAATATGAAATGTGATGTGTGAGTTTGCCTGATACCCCCCCTCAAAGATCAATTTTTCTAGGCTTCACATGACTTGTCAGCACTTCAAAAGCATTCTTCCTGGGGGTTCTTGATGCTTCTGAACAAGGTGGTTGAGCCAGACTTGTCAGAAACAATCAGGTTGTTGAGATATGTAGAGTCCCTCTCCCACCTCCTAACTCATATATCTTAGTATCATGTAAATACCGGTATATAAATGAGTGTTCCTACTGTTCTAAGATCATATAAATTGATTGGAAATGATCCCAGAGTGTTTTGAGCCCATCCTGATTAAGATATGCAAGTTTTCATGGTATCCCCCTCAAAGATCAATTTTTCTAGGCTTCCCATGACTTGCTTGTGCTCTAGGAGTATTTTACTGGAGTGCTCTTGATGTCCCTGAACAAGATGGTAAAGCCCAATATGTCAGGAAAAATCAGGTTGTTGAGATACAAAAGGTCCTCCTCCCCCCTCCTACCCCATATATTTGGCAACACTCAAATTTCACTCAAAACTGATACTAAAAATGGTTGTCCCAGTGTTTTTAAAGCATAGAAATCAATTGGTGATGATCCCAGGGTCTCTGGAGGTCAGCATTGTTGTCCTTGGTTGAAGGGATGAAAAATTCAGTATTTTGACATTATCTCCAGATCCCAACCACCGTTTTCTTTCATTTCAGGCTCATGTTGATCCTTGGGCATCCCTCTAACATATGTACCAGCCCAAGAAGAGAAAAAAATTTCAAACTTTGAAACCTATTTCTGTTTTGACCATATAAGTGTTCATAACCTGTGAGTGCCCCCAGTCCAGTGAACTGTGAATCTACCCTCACCATTATGCTGGTGATGGATCGATTTGGGCCCGGTCTATTATAATCATATAATGTTTGTCGCATCAACATGGTTGTGAGCACATGCAACTTGAGGTTAGATTATAACATTGATAGACTACAAGTTTTCCCAGGCATGATTCTAAAAGTCTTTGATTCTGTTTGGATATTCAAATATAATGTCACAATTAATACATGTCGTGTGTTTATAAGTGATTAAATTTTTAACGAAGAAAATTCTCCCAGTGGCTTTTCGCAAGGGATTTGAATTGAACATAATACTGCAAGGCAATGCCCGCCTTATCCCGCAAGCATACACTTATCTGTGCGACTTTGTGGTTATAATGACAAATCAACAATGGGATCGAGCATTGTCATAACACAAAATATGGACTTCTTGTGAAGCCAACTGTAATGAGAACCTGACTAGCGCAGTCGTCAATAATCAGCACACGAACATTGTGAATATCAAAATACAGTGTGGTGGAATCCTGCAGATACCGTAGAAATCGAGCCATGTTGCGAGAGACATCGGTGTCAGGGTGCACGTCCGACTCAGCAGTTGCAAGCATGGGATCAAGGCCTGCCGCGGTTAGAGGTACATCTATTTCCTGGGGAAAGAATTGCTGTTATGGTACAGCAGTGACGGTTATGTTGTATGTGATTAGCTCATTGACATCCCAGTTGCTGCATGACTTCGCAGAACGAATAATATTGGCCATGTGCCCTTTCTCTCTATAGCTAGGGCCAACCTTGAGTGTCAGAGAAATAAGAATGACCAATCAATGAAAGATTCCTTCACCTAGGGTTAAGTTATGTTGCAGCTGCTGCATGTTACGTTGTGCAGGAGATGTGCAATGTGATAATTGCACCGAAGCACAAGCTTAAGTAGCTAGAAGGCTCAAGATCCACTCTGAAATGGTCTCTTAAGTTGCTAGAAAATAGAAGCAGAGCGGATATGAACCTCGCGGCAGTTGGGTCACCATAGAATGTGAGAATAGCTTACAACTCGACCAAGTGCAAGGCCATCACGTCCCCGACACGCATCAAGACTTATTTGCTGCCAAGCACTTCACCGTGTTACCTTTACAATCTTAAAGACATCCTCGAGCTATGGCAGAATGACCAGCAGCAGATATTGCAGTTCCCTCGCAGGATCCAAAGAAGAGGACAAGAAGCTAGACACCAAATTGAATGTTGAAAAGGACAGTGACCCGAACTAGTGAGTGTTAATCACATTAGCGAAATCAGCATTAGCTTGACTAGTTGGAAAAATAAACACAGTTCAAATCCAAGCTGGAGATACACATGGAACAGTTCAAGGTGTGTGCCACTCACGATCGAGGTAGAGCAAATAATTGAATTTGTAACAGGAATTGAACACGTATCTCTACCATCCTGCTCTGGAAGAGAACGCTCCGGACAATCATATATGCACATCGTCCATGACTTCGATTCCGAAGCCACTCAAGTTTCTACACCTACATTATCCAGGCCTGCATGAACTGTTCAAGGCATGGTCAGCATTCAAAATCAAGGTGCAAGAAAAGGATTTCTATGTAACACAGGTTTATCATCTTGCAGAATCTATTAGCTGATATTCTCTCTGATTTCGCTATGACCTACTCCAATACTGGACCTCGAGGAACTCTCCGCCCCAAAGATAGAAGGACATTGATTATAGATACTAAGACGATGAGGTATTTGTCGGCTGAGTCGGGGATTGGCGCACACGCCGCTATAATGCCAATGGTATTATCAAGAATTATCATGTACATCATCATGAAATGTTTTGTTGCTCGAAAGTAGGTAGATTGGTCATACATCAGTACAATATACAAATCAATCTGTTGTTTGACCCTTGGTCCGTGCAATGGATAGAATTCAACATGAATCACATTCCAGATCCTTGTCGATGTCATTATGATCGGCGTATGCATTTTTTATAGTAGTCAGTGACAGGCAACGATGCCCCTCTGTATTATTAGCTTAGGATGTTCTATTGGGGATGGTTTAAAGAATAGACTTACTATTTTGAGGTATCGGGAGCTCGACCAGACCCTCTGCTAACTGCCACATCAGCATGTGACCCTGACCAAGCATAGCCCAGTTTGTGATCTCAATAGGCAGCAGGACTATCTGATGATCGACGATTTCATGCTGTTCGAGGAAATTTACTACTACATCGTGAGGATCTTCCACGCGAAATGCCAGTAATCGTATCCATGGATTGCAAATGAGACTAATGATTCTGAGAGGGTCAGAACATCCTAACTTCAGGACCACACAAACGTGCGTCAATGAATCAATACATTCTAAGCCTTTGCATGAATTGTGAAGCATGCGAGAATCATGGGTGTCAAAATGTGTCAAGGATTTGAACATATTTGATGTACCGATTGATGATGTGACGTCGATGTCCATCACAAGCTGCAATGACTTCAGCGGGAGGTTATCCATGGCTTGCAATAACAGGGATCAATCTGTGGTGGGTGATTTTATTGAGACCACTGCAACCAGGCAAGTGATGTGATTGCAAAGTGAGAGAGTGTCAACTAAGGTGGGTATGTCGATTGAGCCAACGAGAAATAGCGATGTGATGTATTCTTGGGCAAATTCACAGCTCAGATGTCGTAGGCGAAGGCATTTTAGAAATCACTTGACAGATGTGTCATGATATAGCGCAATCCCTCTTATACAATAACCTTTCAATCCTGTCCCATAATAAAATTGTTAGGAGGCCATTTATAAATGATTCCATCCAATGAATACTCACCATGGATATGTGCATTTTGATATCCTCAGATGATCTGCAGCAGCATGTCTGTCACGTGTCGCAAGAGCCAGGATGTACTGCTGGATCTCCAGTGGGAGAGTGGAGCTCGATGACATTGATGGTGATTTATCAGATGTAGAAGTGCCACCCACAATCGATATGAACACATGAAAATTTATGATTACATAATCCATTATTGGGTTGTTCTGGACTCCGTGTTTGTGCTTCGGTATCAATTTTCTTCTATAATATATTGAAATAATTTCGTGGGGCGATCCATTGGAGTTACCTCTGACCACTTCCATGATCCCATATACATATATCCCTTGATAAAGCTGATGCTATGACTTGTTACACGCAATACCTACGATTTATACTAAGTAGTACTCCACATAAATTCCAATGAGTCAAGAGATAATTCATCCAGAACATATATGTGATCTCATGTGGGATACTTAGCGGGCCATTCCATGTTGATAAACAATGAAGGACAGACATGGGAAGACCTTTGTTGAAAGCAATAGATGCACGGACGTCAGGGTCTTCAGTGGTTCCTCCTATGAAGTTCCATTGCAATTGTTGTGTGGGATTGCGATAGGTAAATACTGATAATTGTCACTTTTGATTGAAATGAGATAAGGTGATAATATCACTCACGAGAGCGGCCAATGCACTATGGATAAATGGAAGGGCAGACTCGAACTTCATAACAAGCACACATAAACTTATTTTACTGTTGAAAAAAATATCCAGCATACTTGAGACGTGCTGGAGTGTCCATTGGGACAAACTAAAGTATGAAATGAACTTCCTTTTCTGCTTCAAGATCAAATATTCTGAAATGTTCATCTGAAAAGTAGGATCATACGATTTGGATTCATCACAATACACCGAAGGTAGGGCACCTTTCCTTCACCAAGCTGCTCAGGCTGTTGCATAAGGGGTTCAAGAATACCGTTCAGCTGATAATCCATGTTCTGAGTGGGACCAGGGATAACTAGAAGAAGAAAGGTATTGTGTCGAAGGAATCGGATTGAGTGTGGCAAATTGTCAAGTGTCAACAATTTTTTGCCTGTCAAATAGCTTGCACACTTTGGTGATCGAAACCCTGTGTCAAATGTCATCTTTGAACCCATGCGTGTTAAGATATTATATCCATTACCAGTAAATACAGATGTGAAGAATCATTCTGTACCTCGAAGAGACAAACGGTCGATTATTTCATTTTTGTTTCATGAGCATTTTTGTGACCATGTGAGAGTGAAACAAGCAGTAGCAGATGAAACTTCAAGACAAATCCGACAGGAAATGGAGCGCGTCAGGAGGAACCAGATCAGGTTGGATCTTAATAGAAGTTCTAGTGAAGTTCTGATTTGACTTAGGCTCTCTATCAGGTGAGGTCAGACTCACCGGATCACAACTCAGGCCGTCAGCCCAAGCTTGTTGAAAGGCACAGCTTTTGTGTGCTGGAGGCTTTAATATTGTGGGTACTGACGAGCACAATGTAAATGGGAGTGGCTAAGATTAACTTTATCATGCAACAGTTGACCATATAAGAAAAAACATCACCGACCATGAGGTGTGGCACTGCTCCATTATTGGGCCGCTGGGTGAATGTGTACTGTACACGGCTTTTAATGGTGATCGGAATGGCGCTGGAGGATAAGGTATCGGGGGATGATGGTTGTGGAGCTGAAGTGGCTTCATTAAGTGATAGAAGGTGGAATTGAATGCAGTGTTGGTGGAAGAAATGTGTGGCATGTACCTACACAATAGGTGAACATAAATAGCAAACATGCGATGGGCTAACACCAGTTATAATAACTACCTGTGTACACCCATATTTTATCATAATTGGAGCTGACTGAAAACAATATGAATGTGTTCATTTCAGGGCTGAATGAAAATATTGTCCATAAATGTGTCCTTGCATGATGATTATCCATGAACGTGTTTTGTCATGATGACTGCTGAAGTGAATATTCAGTCCTAATAGAACGTGACACAGGGACATTATTATTAGCATTTTGAGTATGTGATGGGATGAATAACACACCATCAGTACCAAACTGGTACGGGTTAGGACACGGGCCCACTTGTATTGCTACTTGGCTTGCCTGTTATGTCCCTCTGCGGTTGCCCTATTAGTATATAATGCATTCTCATTAGTGATGCATTTGAATGGATGAATCAGGGTGCTCTCAACGACTTGCCTACATCAATGTCTATGTTATTATGCCGCAAGGTGAGTAATAGGAGAAAGAATCATGTTTTGATTTTGTTATCACGATTCTGTAGGTAATCTGATACCATGTCTGAAGGACATAGAAGACATGAAATCATTTAGCACAGAAATCGATAAATGTCATATGTGCTTGCTGTTTGTAGTCCAATAGAATACCTGCTCACCTGCAATTTCATGTAGGATATCTGTACACAGGATTTATTGTGGAAACGTCCCTTTGCAAGATATGATAATATCTACTTACAAATATGTTTTGGCATGATCGTAGATCTACCAAGGGGCTGTTTATAATGGATTAATTTTTGCCATGACCTTTCATATGTACAAGAACCTGGTGCACGCAAAATTAGCAAACCAGATAGAATATAATAATATACAGACCACACGATGGCATGATCCAGATCAGAGCTTGTGAGGATCACCGAAGCCAAAAATGCGAAGCATACAATGTGGGTGTTTATAATGTATGAATGATTGCCACGACCCTTTGGATGTATAACACGCTGGTGAACGCAACATTAGAAAAGCAAATCGAATATAAGGTTGATATACAGACCAAGAGATGGAGTCATCCAGATCAGATCTTGTGAGGATCTCCGAATCTGAAAATGTGAAGCATAAAATGTGTGCGTTACGATCCCAGCACAGCACAATAGGTCAATCTAGTAGTTGTGTTACATGGTCAGACGACATATGTAAGTATTTCTTCAATAGGAATTCACAAGTTAGCAGTGTCAGCGAGTCCAGTTATGAGATCTTTAACTAAATTGATGCGCTCATTTCGCGTGATGGCTTCTTGATGTTTACACTTCATCAGCTGTTCTATTTTTTTCCATTGGCCCGCTGTTTGTTCTTCAAGCTGATCAACATCCTCACTGATCACATCGATGGTAACTTGCCTATATCGAAGCTCTTCTTTGAGGAGGTCAATGCGGTCACGATACCATTCTATCTCAGCCTGATGTGCGATGCAGACCTCCTCCTGGTCCCTCTTCAGGTATGTGACCTGATACTGAACGCGATCAAGCATCTCCAGTAGCTCATGTACGTATTGACACATGTGCGACTGTGGGCTAGGAGATCGTACAAGTGGGACTGAATCATCCTGCTCATGCTGAAATATCTCGGATATAATACTAACAATTAATGAAAACAGAGGTATTTACCATGTACATTGTCTTGTCTATCTGTATTTCATCTCTGATGTGCTTGATCATCCTGGACGTTGAAAGGTCTTCTTGGGCACCACTTCTTTGTATAGAGAGATACATCATGTATGAAGATGGTTAAATGGTGAGGTGAACTTGAAATGAAGAGTGTTGAAACCGCGGCTTAATACATGAGTGAAGAGAGGAACACAGGAAGTACTGCAATATAACATGGACATTAAGTCAGCAACATTATGTAAGCTACGCTTGAATGTTATTCTCCTTTACACGATCTCAAACGATACAATGATTTAATGTCAACTCAAAAGAACAAGTGATGTATTCATCTTGCGAATCATGAATCATTCAACATGCTAATATCCAACGTATACTATTTGTTACAAGATGTACATCGTGGCCGTCATTACAAATATATAGTTTTCGATATTGACATGAAAGGTAAATGCTTTTGTTTATTTCCAACTGTCCACAGACCCCATGAAATGTGCATTAGTTTCGTGAGTATAAAGTCAATTGAGGTGCCTGTAGTGGGTCTGCACTCTCCTACATTTCTGATATTGCAGCCTAAGTCATCTCGAGATTCATCACCCCTCTCCCCAGGTTCATCAATGGACATGCCGCTAAAGGTATTATTCATGCCTAAAATGAATTTACCCAATTTTCTCGGAGTTCCCAATCCTATCTCTCGATGTTTTCAGGATGATCAACAAATGGGAATGATGATGTTCAGTATATTATTAGAGGACTCGCCCGTTCCAGCATATTATCTTTCAGTGCCTGTGTAAGTATCTTCCTTGTTATATCTGTCTTGTGATTCATCACTTTGAAATCACAGTCAGAAGAGTAGAGGAATTGACATTTACCTTGTAGGTTGCCTGTTCCCTTTGCAATCCACGACAAATTCTTCCACGTAATGTTTGCCTTAGGACATAGACTTATTATATGGCAATAATCATTTGGGATTTATTTCAATACATTCTCTGAAGTGTGATTAGTGATACATCCTCTCTGCAAAGACACAGATCCCCCATTTGCATCTCAATCAGTTCACTAGGGTCTGAAACAGGATATGATGCACGTTCTGGACATAAGGCAGGAGTAAGCTTGCCTTCACATGATGTTTGATTTCACAATCAGACATGTTGAATAATTATTGCACAGGTGGGAGGTATTAAATGAGCAAAGATAAATTGTGTCATCTCTACATTAATAAATGAGACATATAACTACATAAGACTCCCATCCCTCCTTCTCACTTGCAAGGACAGGAAAATTTATGCATTAAACTGTGCATGCTGCCAGACACAACTAGAACCAATCTGTAATTTGCGCTGCATTTACAAACATCACCCTGAAGTCAGTATCCTAGGCTCGCATTATTCCGCTTGGTGGCCCACTTAGATGAGGAACGTATAGGGTTCTATGATCGTCAGATCGATGCGTAGATGGAAAATGGCATAATTATATTTCTTGTATGCAAAACATGCGCAACCACTTTGGTGTGTTCTAAGTACAATTTCCCAGATATGATAACACGGAGGCCTTCCAAACACCCATTGTGACACATCTTGCTTGTGCTTGTATAAGAATCACATCATTCAGAACTATGTCCACTATATGAAGGCTATTTGCTGTCTTCATAAGTATATGTGTAAAGCGAGGAAATGTCTGCTTACATGCTTTCGGAGACAGAGTAAGGCACTGGTGCAAAATCCATTGTCATCGTTTATTCACTTATTGCATCAATTATACTGTTGGTTAATGAGCCATAGGATTTCTCAATGGTGGAGGATGGAAGGGGCACCTTCGTGCCAGAAGCATGAAGTCAGCGAGATTGACCACCCAAAGGCGACTCCTCCACTGAACCGTCGATGTATGTCTATCAGTTGTATCTTTTTGTGAGCAATTAGCTATCTAAGTCAACATTACTGCACAGAGTTGGCTACAAAGTCATGTGATTGCACAATTACGCAGTAAAACTTTGTCACGATGATTTCAAGACCATACAGGGTGGCTAGATTGGAATGACGCTTAATGGTAGGCTCATACCAACTATTATACATATGTTGCTGTCTGGAGCACCATAGCCAAGTCAGAAACATATTCACTATGTCTCATTCATATAATTTTGTAACTCACAGTGCTCTGCGATATCGCTATAAATGTCTGGTTCCAAATGTAGAAGGCAGGGAGATACCTACCATGTGTACCTAATTGAGTGCTATGAGGACGGATGAAAATGTATTTGACTACTCCTGTGAATTCGTCATCACCACCAGCTCGTGTACTAACAGTTCATGCCCATGATACTCACAGTGGATCAATTGAACACATTACACAAGTGGATGGAGTAGGTGTTTCTGCCATAGAAATCAGAGGATCCTTGCAATGATGCCACAGAGCATCAGACTCAAAGCTTACAGCGACCCGTTTTATCAACCATCCATCAGCGCAGACTAGATGCTATAGATGCGAGCCGAGCTTACCAACAACTACATGAAGGGCCATAATGTACCGCTTCCATATCTGAAAACATGCGTAACCTGGATCATGCAGACACCATGCAGATATCAATATTGTGAGGAAGTTCACTAACCCACCTGGATAGTGAATAAGATAAGGCACGAAATGACCTTGTGATCAATATCAATATCAAGGGCATATCAACCACTACCAGAGCCATCAGGTCTGAAAACCTCCTATTCTAATTCAGTCACAATGTATCATTTGCAGTACAGATTCACATAGTTCAATGTCGTTCTGGTTGTGGTTCTACATTGCTTGACATTGCATTGTGAATTACCAAGAGCTGGAGTTGCTGAAAATGTCGGTTAAGAGCATGCACATCTCACAAACAGCGCAACAATTAATGAACAACATCAATACAGTCAAAGTAAGATTGCAGCAGAGTCACTACTAGCGCCAGAGCAAGCTGCTCTTTGTTCCCAAGAGGAACGGAAATGCAAAAAGACAAAAGGGTCACACCTTAAGTGCCAGAGCAAGCTGCTCTTTGTTCCCATGAGGAACGGAAACGCAACACCAAGGAGGCAGCAGTGTCGCACTGTAAGCCTGTCAGCGCCGGAGCAAGCTGCTCTTTGTTCCCATGAGGAATGGAACGCAGGACTGCTGTAGGCAACATAACGAATTCAGATTGGCCTATGGTCAGCGCAAAGAGCAAAAAGGAATATTTACAAAATGCCATCCGAGATATTCGAAAGTTATACTCGCAACATCCACACAGTAAGTCGACAAAGTTTTAGAACGATGAGACAAAAGGTCGGGCAGGCCACCATCAGCAACGACGAAACACCCATGAGGCGTGGAACCCATCATCATGAAGGGAGGAGGAAAGAGTAAAGGAGTGGGAATTCATCCACCAGAGATATTTAAACATCGTATCACGTGATATTCTTATGCCACGGGAATGTGGGCTTATCCGTGACTTTAAATTGGAGTTGAAAACTTTAATGGTCATTGAAGCCTAGTATTTGTCGACGCGCTTGGAAGGGAAATGACATCATGAGAGTTGCCAGGGATTTATGGACAAATATGAAAACCTCGATACCATACCATTTCAATACAGCTCGCTGACAAAATTCATTGATTCACTCTGTGAAGTAGATAATCAGTTGAATTTAGGCAACAGATCGAAGAACTAACTTAGGCGAACCATATGAGAACATTGTCATTGCTGTTGTATTCATATCACTGCATGACGACATCACCTTCATTGTTCATGTCCTTTGTCCAATGGTCAGGATGCACAATTGGAAGATCAGAAATTGCACAGCATTCTATATCACAAACCTCGCCTAGAAGATCATATATGACTTTGAGGGTCAGACGAGAAATACTGAGGACAGTTTTACTGCCACTACTGATATGTTTCCACGAGATGATGGAATAAAATAGGATGGCATTGGTGTAGAGGAGAGCAGCTGGGCCGAATGAAGCGCTATGAATGGAATGGTAATGATATTTGTTGTATGGGGGAACGAGTTTTTCATGAGAGAGGTTGTCACGGCTCCTCCAGTATGATGCAGGGTCATAATAAATATTGTTTGGTGCAGGAAATTTGCAATTGTGTCCTAAGAGTTGTTTTTTTGTGATACCAAATGTCAAATGCACTTGCACAACACAAGCGCCTTGTTGTATTCTATGTTGCACCCTGGAGCTTGGTCAATACGATAAGGTGTGGTGTGAGTTTAAGGAGAGGGGTGGGTTGTACAAAGTACTCAGATACGTGGGAAATGAAGATTTTCATAAGTGGGAACGACTCATGACATGGACACATTGACTACTGGAAGACGGCCTTTTTGATGTGCCTGGATGCAGTGTTCTGTAGCTGAAATTGGTGAACTCCAAAAGCAATGAATGAATAGGCTGAGGTTTAAGAAACATCTGTATTGCAGCGTAGTGACTTCTACAGGAGCTGTCAAGATAGTGCCAAGTTCAGGGATGGTCAGAGGAGTTGTAGAGGTGATGGAAGGTCTGACAGTACACATGCTCTATCCGACACAGTATTCGAAAAGGGATGTGTGTCTTCCCCTTGCAAGATAAACTAAACTTACCAAAGAAGATTTGTACCCCTATATGAAATATGTCAGTCGCCTCCCAGTATTAATATTTTATTCAACCCAGCTGCGCTCCTCTACCTCCATTCTGTACCACAAATGGAACAACACTAGCAATGTCTGATGTCGGGTTGCCTGTGATCTCATGCTGCCATCAGAACGTTCACAGCAAGGATAAAGGTGGACATACCATGTGCATGATGCATACAATGATACAATTCATTAGAACATATATTAAAAATGCAGTCAATGAGTTCAGTGTGGCGCAAGCATTTACATTTGCCCCAGATGATACGATAAAAAGAGCATTATACTATGACCAATCTTTTCTCCCACCCTCTGGTGCACCTTCTGGACATGAATTGTAAGAACACCCATTACCATCTAATGCACTTTTTAGATGTCGACTGGGAGCATGGCCTTGATACAAATCCCCTTCCAACGTCATTGAAATCAGCGTATCTATTTCGAATATCACTCAATAATACGCACCGATGGCCTGACCAATGAAATACTTATTACTCTTGCAACAAACATGTCGAACAGAATACATACCTTCCTTTGGTCGTGGAAGCTTTATCCTTTCCTCTGCCATTTCCCATATCAACATATCTCCCTGGCCTAGCTTAGCCCAGCTCGTCCATTGGGTAGGAAACAGTACGGCTCGACGATTGTTGATTCCATATTTATCCAACCACATCGTGACAGGTTTATGTGTGTCTCTGACTCGCAACCCAAGCACTCGCAGAGTTACATTGCTTAGGAGGTGCTTCACCGATTCCACCATTGATTGTCCCATTGCAAGGACCACAATAATGTGAGTCACTAACCGAAGATCTTCTAGGCCAGTGTATGGTTCCGTCATCAACAATTGATCGTTGATGTCGAGATGCATGAGATTGTGGAATGTGTGCGATGTTTTGATGGCAGATAAGCAATTAACCTCCATCAGCATAGTCAATGATTTCAGTGGGAGTGTATTGAGTGCCCACAGTAGACGTGATGGATCTTCACTGAACTCATCTGTGTTGACTGCCACTGAAAGGCAGGTGATACCTCTGCATAGCCCAAGAAGGTCAATTAATGTGGATTCATCTACAGAACCAAATAGACAAAGAGATTTGATCGATTTTTGTGCAAATTCCATAGGCATTGGACGATGGTAGGTGCTGGTGATGAATCGTCTTGCCCTGTGCTCACCACGGAGAACGAGGGTGCTATATAAGATTTGTTCCATCCTACTGCAGTAGTGACTCAGTTGAACAATGTGCGTCTGTGAATCATTAAACCAGCTGCTTACCACGCATGTGTGTGGCGTGACAGGGTCAAAATAGAGGCTGTATAACGTCTCCAACAGCTTGCAAGAGCCAATATCTTTTGCAAAATTTCTAGTGGAAGTTGGGGGACCATTACTGATCAGGCGGGCGAGCATCATGTCACCAAGGCTGCTATATATCCCCTACATGCAAACACATGTTATGCCATTTTTACATAGTGCCTGACCCTCAATCGCCCTCATGTTCGGCTCAATCTCAGTCAACTCCATGTAGCCTGTCATGTATGTGATGGATTTGTTTGCTGGACATTATTCGATATATCCACAGATACATATATTTTATACATCGTACAATTTGTTAAACAAATATTCAAAACTTGCGCTAGGCGTGTGTGACGACATACTATCATGCACCGCATTTCCTTAGCCACTCCATTATGTCATAAATGCAATGGTTTGCTAAGATTGAGTTTACAATCACCATCACACATTTTTGCCTAATATGTGATCACAGCCTCGCCTCAATGACACACATCCATCATAGCCCCATAGTTTACCATCCTTCCATTAGTGTGCCTCCTCTATCCCTCCAACCAAACATATCCGCCCATTATACAAGTTTATCTATCATTGATAGCTGCAAAAATGTACTAATCCATTTCTTCACCTAATGGCCAATCACTTTTGCATTCAGAGCATCTCAAACATGAAGTTTCTTCCCAGATCCCCAACACCCATGTTGTGGGGGAGGGCTTTATCGACCTCAAATATTTTCCCATGTGTCTGAACATATTCTCACTCTGTGAGCTTTTGCGTAAGCTTACATACAAGCGCCTGCAAAACAATAGTGGGACTCAAAGTACGTTTCGAGACTCGCTAAAATGCTCGCTAAAATACCGGCTAACCAAAAATTCTAGATGGGTTCGGCCGGCATCACCAAGTGGAGCTTCAATATTGATGCCTCCTGCTCGCCAACGTGTCCGGCATTCTGCAAGGCTACAAGCCAACTCTCGAGCTCGCCTAAAGGCGATGGAGGTGCCCCCACGACTGCCCGCATCCAGTAGACGAGGAAAAGGTCGAGCGCAGGGGTCCAATCCGAAGATAATTGTTCACTGGACCCGACCCTCAGACCTTCATCATACGGATACCCTGGTACAACACATCACCACTCACTCTGCGGATGCCCGCATTCTGTTCTACAAGGGAAAGAAATCCTCTGCTACCAACAACAACAACTCGGAGGAGCGCGCTTGTGGGAAAGATAAAGGAGAGATCTACCAAGCATTAGCCAAGCTCATCTTCGAGAAGGACACTGAGTATTTGGTGTTGTATGCTGAGGAGCCAAAAAAATCTGATCTGGCCGTTTGCCATCGTGTAACCACGTAAGTTTGTTCTATTGCTCACAATTCGTAGCTACTGATTTGATTATTCAAAGTCTCAAAAGATCATTCAAGGAGCAGCTCGATAAATTCCATCAGACCGGCGCTGGTGTCACTCCCCTTGATGAAAATGGGGCTGCTAATCTACACAGTAAGTCTTTTTTTTTCGCCGTTCTTTTGTATTTGATTCAACTTATTTGATTTCAGAACAAGTATTACTCTATTTTCCATGGTATGATTTACTGCACCCCTTTTTATTCTCTAATCCAACATGCAGCGCGAAAATATTCACCTCCCAACTGGGAGTTGATCATGCAGCGACCTTCTACGTGCTCGTACATCCACGTGGGGGGGGGGCTAGTCCCTCGGCTCGCCAACACACCTCTAGCCCTCAGCCCCCTCCTTTGCAGCAGCCTCTCCCTCCTCCTTTGCAGCAGTCTCTCCCTCCTCCTTTGCAGCAGTCTCTCCCTCCTTTGCAGCACCCTCTCCCTCCTTTGCAGCACTCTCTCCCTCCTTCTTCATGGCACTCTCTCCCTCCTTTGTGGCACCCTGGTGCTGGGGGCAACCTGATCGACGATCCCGATGGGGACATGGATGATGATTTTTACGCCGATGATGATGACGGTGTTTTCCATGCCCCTCTCGGCAATGCATTGGATGCATTGGACGGGGACTTTGAGATGCATGATGACGACGACATCAGCCAGGAGTTCAACTCCTCCCGGTGTCATTTCATCAGCCTCAATAGTCCCCCGAAGGTCATAGGCCACAAACGGCAATATGCGGCTTCTCCATCTCCCCCTCGTGCGAATGCAAACTCTTTCTCTCTCCCACGGAAGGCACAAACACCTGCATACCACAGTTGTGTGGCCTTCGGTTCTGCCTCGCCTGGCAGCCTAGCACCGCAGTTGTCCAGAATAATGTGCAGCTGCTCCTTTCCCTCAGCCACAGGATCCTCATCGCCCTACATCTCGTCCGACTATCGTGTTTCGCCAACGGCGTCCCTTTCCACGAAGCCGCAGAGCGCTGTGAGCTCGAAGAAGAAGAAGAAGACTTCAGTGGCGGACATGGAGGGCCACATTGGCATGCTCAACGGCGAGATCCAGAGCATGCGGAGTGACCTCTCTGAGCGCCGGGGATCGAAGAATGAGCGCTATGCCATGAAGATGAATTACCAATCCCAGAAGCGGGAATACCAGTGGTGCCGCGAGTCCCATTCGCAAGACGTCCTCCTCGCAGCCACCACACACCAGCGCGAGCAGGAGGCCAAGGACAAGGAGATTCTCCGCCTTCAGGCGGTAACGGCCTTGCAGGAGAAGGAGGCTGAGACCTGGCGCCTCAAGATACAGTATGAGAGTATGAAGATCTGTGCTGCAGGTGGAGATGTTTCTGGTCCATCATCATCATCCTAATTTGTTGTTACTTTTTTTTGTTCTTGTCATGTTTGTTTTAAGTATACATTTCTTGGATCTGTTGTAGTAGTGTAGTAGTACATGTACATTCTGATTGCCAATGTGACTTTGGTTACCCTTCCCTATGTTCAGCTCTTGTGTAAGGACTGTCAAACAGTTGATCCATCATCTGCAAACAAGAGGCTTGCCCTGGAGTGCCCTCATAAGACCTGTCACCCAAAACTTCATCTCCATCAGGATCTTCAAATGCTCTAGCTGCAAACTCTTTAGCCTCTCGTTCAGCCCACCTCTAAGAATGGTGAAATTTTGGATCCTGCTTGCAATGGTGAGCTTCAAATTGGATAATCATGTTATGCAAGATGATGCAACACATGATCCAATGGACAGCAATCTGAAGCTCTCTTTCTGTGTGGATATTGAGGTGAAGCTCTCGGAGGGACTGAAACCGCCCCTTAAGAGCGGCAAATGCGTGCTCAACACGCACGTGAACCTATAAAGTAAAATAAAAGGCAATCAGTAACCAAAAAAAAAATCACAAAAATCACAAATATATAAACACACCTTAGAAAGATGATAATTAAATGTCTTCTGGTCCTTGGTCAACCTTCCATTGTGGGGCTTTTTGGAAGGGACTATGCACCACTTTTCAAGTGGGTATCCACTGTCAGCCCAAATCCAATGGTCATCTGGAAGAAGGGCTTCATGCTGTTGATAGAGACGGGTGGATCGGAAAGCATAGGGGCATAATCAACAATGATAAGGTTGTGAGGCATAACAGCTGCCTTAAAAATTATTTAATTGTGAAGCATGAAAGAGAGAGAGAAAAAATACCTGACAGCCAAGAGAATAGTTAGATTTCCTGTCATAAAATGTCTCACCAAAATGGGCAGGTTTGGCATATAGGTCAATTGTAGTGCCATCAATGGCTAGAATGCCATTGCACCACTCAGGACAAGTTTTGGACTCCGCATATTGCCGAGCAAGCTCAGCATCCTCGGAATCAGGATGCAGAAAACCAACAAAATTGTCATGCTGGTCAAGCACTTATACCTGCCCATTGGGCCACATCCTGAAGAGAAATCACATTGCCATAGTGGCCAGCACGATTGAGAAAGATAGCAAGCTGGATGAAAACTGGAAGCTGAGGATTGTTGGATTGATTATGAAAGATATGATGATCAGAGATCTGATCAAGGATGTCGTCAAATATGACAGGGTCAACATGTAGCTTCTGCTGAAATAAATCGGGGCGATGTTCCTTGTGATGAAGGAGGAGGTTCATCCGGTTTGTAAAGTACATGAGCCCTGCAATCTCATCACAGAGAGCTTTGATTTGGTACTGAAGTCGACCATAATGTGCAATGATATCCTCAGAATCATCAGATTCATCAGAAAATTCACTGGAGGTGTTGGAGGAAAGAGTTGGTGAAGAAGTGATGTCCATACTCGAATCAGAGGTGAAATCAGAGCTGGACTCCTGAGTTTCCAGTAACTCCTGGTAGTGGAGTTGGGCCAATGAAAGTGCAGCTGTATCAACTGCATCAAGGAGATCTTTACAGCTGAATTTGTGATGCATAATGAGAGCTTGAGATCAAGGGATGATTCCCTTATCATCCCCCCCTAACTGATGTGTGCTGATTAGTGGAGTTTGAATCGGAGTTTGAATTTTGGTGATGGTCGGCATGCTAAGTCTCACTTGTAAGCTCATCGTGGATGACTGCGAGCAACCTCTCAGGCGCGCTGGGTGACACCTATGCGGTGTATAACCCCTTCCAACCCCCTTCCTTCCTCTCTCTACAACATCCCCAGCAACAACACCATTACCACTGTGAATGCCAACATCCCCAACTCTCAGGCACGCTGGGTAACACCTATGCGGTGTATAACCCCTTCCAACCCCTTTCCTTCCTCTTCCCAACAACAATGCCACTTCCAGGTGCGCTGGGTGACACCTATGCGGTGTATAACCCCTTCAACCCTCATTACTTCCTCTTCCTCGGTGAGTTTTTTTGTTGCTGTTCTTTTTATTTTACTTGATTTATTTGATTGTACTACCAGGTATTACCAACTGTTCTCTCCTGCCTCCTTCACAGCAGCGTCTCCCGCCTTCTTCGCGGCACTCTCTCCCTCCTCCTTTGCAGCAGTGTTTCCTGCCTCCTGCCTCCTTTGCAGCAGCGTCTCCTGCCTCCTTTGCAGTAGTGTCTCCCTCCTTCGCGGCACTCTCTCCCCCCTCCCTGGGAGTGGCTCAATCGACAACAGCACTTTTGTTGCCCCTCTTGTCAGTGCGCCGGACATGTTGGATGGGGACTTCACGATGCGCAGCGATGACGGGCAGGAGCTCTGAGTTCGACTCCCCCAGTGTGCTCATCCATATCCTTGCTCCAGCGGTCAGTACAATTCACCTCCCTCCAGTACTCCCCATGTACTATACATCATATACCTTGTTCTTGTGATCTCGCTGCACTTTTTTTCATTGTCACGAATGTATTAATACTAGTTGAATTTATTTATTTGTGGCTACTCATTGTGCATGCTCTGGACTCCTGCAAATGCCTAAGTGTTGTTTCCAAGTCCGATATCGTGCCAATGGCATGCCGAGTTTGAGCTCGAGTTTTTACAAACTCTAGCCGAGTCTTAGCGGGCCTTAGTGAGCATTTTAGCAAGTCTTGAAACGTACTTTGAGTCCCACTAATGGATCACCCCCAACTTGCCAAGCTCATTTCACTGCATTGGCTAACTGCCCTTCTCCCAATCTGAATCACTTTCTCCACGTCTAGTGCCAGCCCCAGATCTACTGCCATGTGCACATACTTGGGTAAGCGAGACAGTGAACAGCCAGTTTGAGACCCACCATTTTCTGTAAACTAATTCAGAACCAGTGCAAGCCCTCTGGTTACCTATCCCAATGAACTTTTTCATTGCCTGGCCCTTTTTGGTATCAACATCTGCCTCTTCTTTCTGACACAGGGGTTTTCCCCAAGATGTGAGACACTGCTGCGTGACAGTGACTCATGTTAATGGTCACCTATTGTGTGAGTTTTACACTCCATCGCAAATTCCAACCATTCGCTCCCTCATTGTTCTCATGCCGACTCTTCCACCTTCATCAATGCTTGCGCCTGATGAGTCAAGTCCTCCCATGAGTTATGAATCCCAACTGTGTATCCGGGGCCACTAACACATTGATGTACATTGTGAGCAAATGCGAGAAGAATAGAGGAGCGGGTGAGCCTGGAAATTGTTTGTGGCTGTGTCCAAATGGCTGACCTCTCTGCACAGACAATCACGAGGTCATCCAGTTCCTTTGCAGCGCAGGGGCATCTGCTACTGATCCACTGCACTTTGTGGTGCACTCGGACCATCTATTGTTTCAAACTGGCACACATTGATTAGTAGTGCCACAAGGGTTGATTTGGGTTTGTGAAAGATGAAAATATAACATTATGTCAATATCATTGCGCAATGAACACATTTATTTCCTTTTTCTATGACCGCAGTAGAATTCATAGGTAAGTCAGAGATTGGCTGACTATCATTAGTCATTTATTTGGTATGATCGCCTTGTTGTGGAGTGCCACAGCAACAATTGTCGGTTGTCGGTGACCTTTTGTGATGTCTTGGATATACAAGGACATTTGTAATCTAACACGTGTCTTGTTCGGTTCGTGTTAAATAGGTCTGATTGTTGATCAGTGAGTGGCACATTTCAATGTTAACCACCATCAGTGATGGTCTCTCCACTGCCAGTCGAAATCCAAGAAAGGATATTGAGGTTTGCCATTCGCTACTGATCGGATGCCGCCATCGCAGTCAGAGTATCATATGGGACACACAAGTGGTAAGCATATGATCCAATATCATAAATATGGGTTTTTACTGAGTGAATACTTTTTAAGGATTGAAAAAATCATGTATCAACCAATCGCTCTCTTCGAAGAACACAACATACAACACTTTCTTGCATGTCTTCGCCTACGTCCGATGCACGTTGAGTTCGCACAAACAGCCATTAACTCCCTCTATATTGACAGTCTGGTGGATGAGTCGACTGTATTGGATATCCTGTTGCTTTGCACTGGCATCAAATACCTTGCATTGATGGTTGATATATATCCAGACATTGAAGATCATTCACCAATATGGCGTGCCTTGGAACATTTGCCACTCACATCCTTGGTTCTTTACATGGGCGTCCCCTTCTTAAATTGCATCAGCACATTCAGTCATTTGAAGAACATCACACATCTTGATATCATCGACAGCGGGGTACTCATGAAATTCGATACAGGATTGAATGCTTTGGATTCTTTAACCCACCTCTGTCTGTCACTTGAGACACCCAATTGTCAGCCAATTGCGATAATACGTCTCCTTCATCATGCATGCCTCTGCTTACTGGCATTTCATGTCAAAGAATCCCACTGTGAAATTGAATCGTTCCTTGGGTTATTTAGCATTCAGGATGATAGAATAGTGCTATTGCCCAGTGTCATGGTCAAATGGCGTGATATAGGTCGGAGGCAGGACATCTTATTTTGGACATTACTGGACAAAAGGGTCAAGCTACCGATACTGGAGAACAGTAAGTAGTTCATTGCAATCATCGCCAGTATGTCATCCTCAAATGTTAATACAGAAAGGCATCGCTGCTTGTCAGACACATGCAGCATGGGACTCGTAGATGATAACCAATGTGAGGAAGGTGATCTCGATAGTGATCATGAAGCTGATTCTGAAAGTGATAGTGAGAGCTCCATCTCTGATTTATAGCATGGCGAGGACAAAGTATTGGTGAAGAGCTGATTGTCATGCAATGCAGCATGGAAGTAGTAGACACTCAATGCATGTGTGCTATGGCATTCGCTAATTGGAAAATGTACAAATTCAATTGCGCCTTTGGCTTGCATCTCTTAGTAGACGCATTATATGCGCTAAAATTATTGTTATTTTAAAACAGACAGGGAGATATTCACTTGGAACCTGTCATTCTATTTTGGAGTGACAGACATTGCTGATGAACAAACTTGTTACCTTTTGTATTTCATTAACCTTGTGGGGGTGAAGACAAATGTATGCTGTTGTTGATATACAATTGCAAGTGTTCCTATCACTTCAGACGTAGCCCATTGTAAATTACAGTAATAGATGCTTGTATACAATGTTCGCTGTTGTCTTTTCCTCTTCACTATCTGTCAGACACTCAATTATCACAATGTGGTACCTTTCGAAAGCAATTCATAGAAGCAAAAATATCTTTCCTGAGATCTACACTTTCCCACACGTTATTGCATCACTGCGCATGAATGAGGGTTTGTTGTACAATGCAGAAACTGTGAGATAAATTGTCTCAGGACACAGTTTCAGAATATTGCGACAATTGAAAGTCGTTTCGAACACCAAGCCCTAAAATTAACATGCAGCGTGGGAGCAACATTTTCACTTGTTATATTAATAGTATATTCATTTATTATAGCAAGCACATCAAAGATAGACACAAATTATAGATACATTTTAAACAGAATTGCACCAACACAACAGAGTAATCATATGCAATGATACAGAGCAGTAACACCATAGGCGCCAGAGCAAGCTGCTCTTTGTTCCCATGAGGAATGGAAACGCAAGGTATCATGGCAAAATGAAGAGCAGTAACACTGTAGGCGCCAGAGCAAGCTGCTCTTTGTTCCCATGAGGAACAGAAACACAAGGTATCATAGCCAATCATGAAAATGTACCTATGGTCAATGCAAAGAGGGAAAATGAAGACATACAAAATGCCGTCCAAGGTATTCGACAGTTATTCGAGCAGTATCCACATGGTAAGTCAACAAAGCTTCAGAACGACGAGAAGGAAGGTTGAACAGGCCACCGTCAGCGATGATGCAACACCCGTGAGGCGCGGAATACATCATCATGAATGTGGGAGGAAAGAGTGAAGAGAGTAGAAAGGCGTCCGTGAGAAATATTTGAACATGTATATCACGTGACGTTCTCATGCCGCCACAGATGCTCATGTGGGTTTGTTCGTGATTATAAATCGGAGTTGGAAACCTTAAAGGTCATTGTTGTGTGTGAAGACCGCATGCGATGATTATGATCAGGATAGTCTAAGCATATCATTTTTGTACAATAGATATGTGGATAGATCGCATTGCAATGAGGTTTTCCTGGTTTTGATTTGTATGCAAGGTAAATTTAAAATCACTACATCTACGACCGAGATCTACATTGGTGACAACTGGTCTGGATAGAACATGTCAGCGCTACTTCACATACAAGCAGCTTTTTTTGCTAGCCAGAAGTCTACGTGTTTCTGAAATACAAGGAAGGTCTGTTTGTACAACGTTCAGATTATTCACAAGGTATCTCATCAAGTTTCAGCCAGCTCGTGTTTGCTACAGGTACCGTGCTTGACTGGATTGATATGTTTCCTGCATTATTGGTGGGATACACAGTCCACACCATTTTCATCTATTAAGAATGCATTCAGAAGTAGAAAATATTAAAATATATGTTAAAAACATAAGATGAATCAATAGAAATATCACACCGCAAAAATGTATCATCCCAGAGGACATTCTCACTCTACATCAACAAATCTTGCATATAACCATGATGGATTTAGTACAAGACTTGATGTACATTCGGCTCGAGGATAGGACGTCATAGTATGTATTGATCACACATTGCAAGGATGTAAATTAACAACTCTCGTTTGGTCATGGCTGTGACTATGGATACAATTACAAATTACAAACAACCCAAATTCAGTCAGTCATTGAGCTGCCCCAGAATCCTATAACCGGAGCGATTCCGTCAATACTCGATCAAGATCAGCCCTATCAACAGGATCGCTGCAGACGAACTGGTCACCCTTGTATACGAGGTGACTGGCTGAGACCCACTGAGAAACTCCCAGATATTAAGTCTCTCAGGTGAGAGTGACACATTGCCATGTCAATAACCCATCATCTAATTACAACAAATGCCCAGAAACCTTGATCATGGTCTTGTCCATGGCTGGAATCAAACAACTCACAGTGTTCCGATTAAGTCAAACGTACACCCTCAAAATTTCACAGTGAAAGGATGGGGCATGGCACATCACGCTGGATTTTTGACCTATCCGCATCATGATGCAGAAGGCACCTTAACGTGGATACGGATGGAAGTCGGTGTTAATTTTTGGGCAATATTCAGAGCAAAGGCTCGACGGGACGACCGGAGTCATCTTCAAAACATCACAACACAGCTGGCCAACTTTACAGAGCACAAGGCATGGTTGAAGATGCATTGCGACACTGAGGTGATCACATTGATGGCTGGTGACATGTTGTAAGGCAATCACAATGTTCTCACACAAATGCTAACCTCCACAAAATTCAGACTACAACCACCTTGCACAATGCATGTGGTGTATACACCTGTAGCCTCATTTGCCACAGGTGTTACATGAAAAGCCATAAACATTGGGACACTTTTTTGAGCCACTGTAGATACTTGTGCGAGTGGGAGGTCCAGGATACATTGGATTTCATTTGGGTCATTCATGGAGTCAAAGAACGATTTGATTGTCCCAGTCCTTGTGGGATGGACATGATTGATTGACCGAATCATTAGATCTGCATTCTGTGTCAATCATGCAACGACACCCAGGAATTTAGATAACGTTCACCATGAATACACACAGGATGATGTGGCGTGATCACAAACCTCTCGTCAAGGTAATCCTCTGATAGGGATCCATGCAGTCTCTCATGGGATACGCCTCTGATAACAACAGGTAGATGTGTACTCAGTGCGTTCCCAACCACGGCCAATATGTCCTTTCTCCCAAGTGCATCTTGCTTCAAATGAAGAACATTTTTGGAGCTTGATGTAGAAGTTGGAAAATCGGCCATAAATCGGATAATCGGAATATCGACGGCTTTACACACATTGATATTTCCCTCACCATGAACCATAGGCAGAATAGTAGTATGACCATCTTTCCATCTCAACTTTGGACTTGCCACCGGAACCTGCTTTCCAAGCAATCCTATGGTGAGATCGAGAGACATGACTGAGACTGACGATGTTCAACGAGCACGTAGACATGACTTTTGATGTCGGATTATGTAACTGATTTCATAATGTTGTATGTTGCAATCAGACAAATATTATGGAAAAAAACACATTGAAGGTTCGGTAGCAATGCTAGTACTTCTTGGGGATACGATCAATGGGTGGTCACTGGTGCTCTGTGCAAAACTCCCGAGTTTTTAAGTTAGTTTGAAAAAACCTAAATTCTGTTAGTAGTTTGTCATGGAGCCCTGGGTGGTTGGACTAAAAGGTGTCTGTAATTTGAAATTTTATTCAATGCGGACATTTAATGAGTACAATTATTTGCATCGTTGGCAGGCCATGTAATACCAGCCATACTAAATTGTAACATTCCAATTGTACAAAGTTCAACAATCAGAACAGCATGCAGGTGTGTGAGGAATGGGAGGATCATAGTTCAGCCAGAAGAGTGAATCATATTGTGGAGCCAATCCTACAGAATTAGGTGTTTGCATTGAGACGAGATGGATATAGATATACTCACATCAGCATTTTCTGTCGCTGTTGATGACGACTCTGGAACAGTCATGAAATTTACGATGGTCAAATGTTAGGCAGGAGCAGCTGTGTTTTCGACTTCATTACCATGGTCTGCTTCTGCTACAATCTCAACATGTTCACCATCAACCAGGGAAGATCCATCATCATCTTCTCCGGTCACATCAGGATCCTCATCAATGGGGATATCAGAAACCTCAGGTATCGATGCTACTGTGGGTGTGATTTCAATTGGAATTGGGGTTGTCAAGAAAGCTGGCAATTCCATGCCATCTTTCGGACACTTTGATGGCCCACAGCCACCATCTTGCTGGGGAACATGAATGCATGTACAGCAAATCAATGAAGGACGACCTACCTTGGGTGGAGATGCATGTGAGGTTGTCCTCTTTTGCTTCCCCTCAGTGCGGTCGCTCCGATCAGGTTGCAGATCCAATTGATTGTCAATGCTATCAATGGCCATCTCTTGCAATGCATCTGTGACTGTCCCATGCTCGTCCACTACATCACTTCCCAAATTATCGTGAATCCCGTTCGTGAGCAACAGCCATGGCACAATCATATCAGACATCATGCTAGTGTCGATGTCAGTGTGATACAAAGGCATGGAAACCACATACCTAAGAGTAACTGCTGGTGGTGAGCCGACGGCCGACCGTTGTGACTGGCTATCTGCATCATCCGCTGAAGCAACTGACCGTCCCAATCTGTGAAGGATATGCCTCATGAATCGAGGACGTGTGTCAATGTGAGCAATCACAGAATATAATCTTTCCATTGCCAGTGCCTTGTAAAAATCATCCTGATTTTCGAATGACATCCCTTGTGGACTTTCCGGAATGATGAGGCCATTGACGTCTCCATCGACAGGAATCATTGCCAGCTGCCTGAATCTGAGAAGCATCCATGCACCTAACTTCAAAAAAATCTGTGAATTGCCTCGCTCGAACGCAACCTTGTTCCATGTGTCCCAGTTCTCCAGCCCAGGAGGAAGTATAATGTCGTCTAGTTCATCAGCACTGTCCTGCGACATTTCGAGGTCATATGGACATTCCTGCTGCATTATCGCAGATATTAGTGACATGCTAGGCAGATCCTGTACTAACTGACCTCCGCTTGGACGGAACCCACAGATTCATTCTCTATTCTCAACATTTGTTCCTCCTTTCCAGGTGTCCCGGTGTCCTCCACATCTTCTAACTCCTCATCCTCTGATTCAATTAGCGGATGACCTTTTCCCTTCCTTCCAGCACACTTCGCTGGGAGGGTCACCTTACAAAGTGTTGATAAGTGATGTAGAGCGGGTATCCAATTAACTTACACCTGAGTTAGATTCAACATCAGATGGGGAGCCTGCCATCCTATTCTGTTCACATTCCTTTGACTTGACTGCAGGAGATTCTGATCTCCTCTTCCCCTTTTTGATGTTCCGTGTGGCCTTAGGATTTGTCTTCCGATTTTTTGCTGTCTTCTTTGTATCTTTCTTTCCTTCAAAATTACTTGCGACCTGCTCGGTGTGGCTTTCCTATACAATATCATGCAAAGTATTGAAAAATAGAGAATTTAAACCGTACCTCCTCATCTGACACCATACTTGCAGGACGAGGCTGACGACTTCCAGCTACCTGCATTGTCGACTTTCGATCTACAGCTTTTCCGAGACATTTTGACTTGACTCCAGGTGCAATCAGTGGGGCATTGTCCTCCTCCTCATCCACATTGATCACCATTTTGTCAGAAGAATCATGCAGGTTCGTAACTGGTTCTGCAGTTGCTTTGACCATCTTGCCATTAGATGACTTACGCAACTTGCTGCCAGTGGCATTCTGAGGAGGTGCAGGCATGATTTCCACCTCAAATTGTTTATCATTTCCGCCAAAGGAGACAGATTTCAAACCCTTTTCTTGCTTTACTTTGACTTCTTCTTTGGCTTCTGTTGCTGATTGGAGCATCTGAACCATTTCAGCAGTCAAATCAGCCGGTGAACGTGTGTGTTTGAATGGACCAGCACACATGTTGTCACCATTCAAGCTGAAATGTGCATGCAATCCAGCTGCTGTGGCTAAATACAGACCACACCACATCAGGGTATATCAACAATCAAAGGATTAATCACTACTCACTATCTTGTACCTTTTTGTAAGGCTTCTTCTCTTTGAAATGACTCCAGGACCATTTCATCTTTTTCAAAGCGACTGCCTGCTGCTCCAGCGTGAATGAGCTTTCATGCAAAGCAAGTGCAATATGTAAATCAAGATGCATGGACCGCCATTTTGTAGTGACGATGTTGGTATCTGCTGTCAGCTCTCCCCTGAACGCGGATAGAATTGCTGCTAGATATGCGGAAAGGGAAATGTACAGTCGGAGCTCCTGATCTACGGTGCGTGACTTTGGAAGTGTCCCCAAGGCTTTCACGGTAGATTGATATAAATTCAATTGGTGCACAACCATTTGAATTGCATCGAGACACTTGTCGGGAACCTTCATCTATGGAATTCCTATTATATGTAAATTAAACATGATCTGCAGCAATGATGTAATGACCTCAACCATAGTTGGCGAGTGATCGCAGATGTCTAAAGAGATTGGAGCTACTGTCGGGAACATCATTGATCAGTAGCGTTAGCGAGGATAAATGCTGATGCTGAGCTTGCAAACTTTGTGGCAGTCTCGTAAAACAGAGCACGTGGGAACTAAAACCCAATTGTACATTGTGCTGGGAAAAAACAATATGATCATCGGTTCAGTAGCACTAGTCAGTTTGGTCGTTGGCCCGAGTAGTTCGTGTGGGAAATCAACATTGATTTTTGTCTGTAGCCACATACCATTCCTGTTGTTCGAAATGTTGAAATCTGGGCATTTCCGCTCTAATGTTGCAGGAGGTGCAATAGTGAATGCGCCTGAAACAAGCCCATCAGCATTCTCTCCATCACAAGATTCAGCACAAACAACAGCTTGTCCGCGTAGGATGCAACATCAGCTGATCGCTACAGCAAACTCAAAGACCAAGCGAACTTCACCAAAGTCAGATTCCCTGAAGGCCCCATATATCCAATTGACTCCGATTCTCAACAATGACTTCTCAATGGATATCGAAAATGCAGATCGACCAACAGCACCACACAATCAAATGACCAATGAAGTGAAAGAGCCAAAACTCATATGTAGCCGTAAACTTTGGATATGGTATGCATGACACCGTTATTTTAAATAGTGCTGCATATATTGTCATGATGTTGGATCGTTCATTTGGAAATGCACCGGAGATGGGTGCAATATTCCAGTTTGCATTAGCAAGAGCGAGGGAGATCGCGGCTGCATAGACGCATCCCCAGATAAACTAACAGGACATCCAAAAGTGATGGAGAAGATGTTCCTTTGCCCTCAATGCCATCATGATGTAGGAAAGCCAATCATGGTGAGTCATAAAGTAATCAGAAGCATTAATGGAGTGTTAAACTGAGATGAATAGTACAAAGTTCAAGGATACTCAGTCAGACAGGACTTTCTGCATCGAAATTATTTCCCCTTGCTCGCTATATTCCTAAGTTGGAGTGGATTTGGAAGCCAATATGGGTCAAATATTGTGAAGACCACGCTTATCGAGCACTTTGCCCTGGATTCCACTAGGGTATGCTGTTTACGCGACACTATGAACATCAGGAATGTAATTCACTATTCTGCAGCTTCATATAGCATCACGTTCTCTCAAAGCAGGAAATAGCCGCCCAATCACCATGAACCCACATTTCGAGTGGCTTGCGAGGCTGAAGCACGAGGGAAACATCTTGATCTTCATTAATACTCATTCAGATAGTGACACAGGCAATCTCATCGTTTCTTGGAATGCCATGAACCCAGTCGCAGTGCCGATCGATGAGGTGAGAAGCTGTACAATCAACATAAAGCATTAATTGATGTATGATATTGTCGGTCATTGAGCTTCTTTGCAACTACATTGGTGGAAACAATTTGAAGACTGCAAGCCAAGTGATTGCAGCTATCAACAAGGTAGATGGGGCGGGACCGTGCGTTCGTGGACTGGTCATCTGTTGCTGTGGATCGACAGGAAGATTGACAGAAAGCGCAAATCTGTTGACGCATCTCGTTGAGCGGTGAGTCATCTATGATTGGATGCAAGTATTCTTCCATTTCATATATGACATTTTAGTGACATATTTGATTTTGTTCTAACCTTCGCTGGCGTATCAACGATCGATATAGCATCATTGTCCCTGCACTAAATCGATTCATCAAGAATGTCTATGTATACGACATGGAGATGTGGGACGCGATGGAAGAATCATTTGGAGAAGACAGATACGCTTTGAACCAATTGCCGGTTTTCATATCTTATGCAACACTTAAGCCCAATCAGAACAGTCAGTGGCAACACATGGTTGACACAAGGGTGCTTGCATACAACAACCTGAAGGATGGTCGGCCTTGGGGCCTCAACATATATCAGTGTTGGAATGTGCAGTGCCAAGCACCAGCATATAACATGATTTTTCATGCACATGGGAAGCAATACTACGGAAGGCAATGGGTGGAGACAAAGATCAAATATACTTGCCTGCAATGCCGTATGATGCAAAAGGGAATTCCATGTCCATCTTGGGTCCACGCAGTGTGGTCTCAGAACTTCGGACATGTGTGGTACCAGTGGCCACTCAGCTTAGCACAAAGACACGAAATCAGGATCATAGAATAGCAGCTGCCATTTGCCATTCCAGAGCCAAACTTGCAATGAATTTTTTCTGATGTTCTGTATTCAAATATTCACAAACTATGTCAATGTTATATCACCTATCCATGAACGATGTGAACACATGATAGATTGAAAGCAGCATGGAACATGTCCCTCTGTGTTGGTGAAGACGAATATGTTTACACTGTTGAAATTGCTATACAAAAAATCCAAATCTGAGCTGCATCGAATTCTGGCCAATCCATTTTGAAATACCTTTAAATTAAGTTGTCAATATTTTCGCATCCCAATTGTGCACCATGACAACACTTCATTCATGCCCCACTTCCTATGTTTAATTTTTGTGTTTATTTATGATGGGCCAGATGTTGGCTTTAACTCTGGTATGTATGTTAATACATTGGACACTGCATGATCTCCTGCGGGCTTCATGACAACATGTGTTCGCAATATTGGGAGCAGGAGTGGATGGAATATAAGGGTGGGGGAGGGTGATTCCCATCTCATCATTATGATACATTCTGATAGATGAATACAACTGAAAGACACAAGAAATTTGTTTGCATATACTATACTTGAACTACTGAACATTCATTTTTTGAAATCACTGCCTGTGTGGTCATTCATGACAGATGCGAGAATTCAGAGTCCTAGAGCATATGGATTGTTGTTGTCTGGTTTAGAAACACATAACAGATATCGGATCACAACTGTAAAGGATGTATTGTGTTCATTTGTCTATTGGAGAGAATTGTATGATTAGCTATGCGAAATGGTACACAAATAAAAAAAGTGATATCACCCAAATTCTGTGCAAACAAGCATGCAGGGAGTCTTCATCACATAAAGCTCTCGTTGGGAGTTCAACTATCACACAATGGGCCTGCGCGTATCGAAGTTAGCATAGTGTGGTCTATAACAGATTCACTGCATACCAATGGGAGAAGCACTTTATTGTGAGTTGCGATTTGAAATACATGCTGGAACTTAAGAGAAATATCCTCAATCCAGAACTCAATTGACATGAGCAGTGAGGCCATGCCTCTCATTGCGCAAGACACGCATTTATTTTGAAGGAGAGATGCCACATGTCGAGCAATGGTTAACCAACAGTCATGATTGGAGTAGACTGTGGATCGGAAGAAATTTGGTCCTTCAGGGTCCATGAGGAAGGAGGAAATCTAGATGGTGACTTTAGTGCAATATAGAATAGATGTTTGACAACATATGATAGGTGTAAGAATTTGACTGCCAGTCTCTGACTTACGAACGAGATCTGGGATAGTGTATATGTGGTTGTGCAACAGTGTTTGTGTTACATGTGCCTTTCCATTGTCCTGTAATTGAAGGCTCTGGGCAGCAAATATGACTGGACATCCAGGTTTTGATAGACCTCGTCTTTGCTGTGCTGCAACTGTAGCCATAGTGGAGTGAGCTTTCTTGGGCTCCCATAACCGTGACTTTAATGGAAGTGAGATGGGGAAATTTTCCATCTCCTCCACTTCCTCATCATCAGGAATTTTGTCATGGTCGTTCAATAAATTAATGTCGCATATCGTACTAGGATCTTGAACAACACTAAATGTATCGTTAAAATCTCTATTACAAGTTCTAGAAAGTTCTGGATGCAGTGATCGACTTTGAGACACATCACCAGAATTATCGTAGTGACTGTGTGGTGAGGGAATCAATGAATCATCGTCCTGCTTGAATGAATTCATCCTTAACATGAAAGATGACAGGTGATTTTGAAGCATACAGCATTTTTTCTTTGTCTTTTTTCTCCGGTTGCAGAGTATCGTCACCAGTTGTTCTATGAGACAGTTCCTGAACTTATGGAACATCAATGCTTGCATGGTCGAAGGATATGTAATCTTCATTCTGAATGTCGGTTTGTACACCACTATCCAATGTGGCACGGCTGCTAGCCAACGAGCCTGAGTGTTGACAAATAGACTCAGATTGTACACCAATTGTGACCATCGGTTTGGCAGTGTGGTGGATATTGATATCCTGTGATGTTCCGGAATCAGCTATGCATGTATCAATATTAATTTCCAAGTATAATACCAAAGACATTATTGGACGATCCATGGGTATCGACAATTCATCTGCATTGCTGTCTGGCTCAGTGGACCCAAGGGTCTGGCCATATTCGATGACACATTCAGTATTAAATCATGATGCATAAAGGGCACGACCAGCAGCAGTGAAAAATCTTGCCATTGAACCACGGTCCACAGATAACTGTTGGCATATCACCATCATCTCTGCCATAGCAAATATTTCCAAGAACTCTTCTGTATTTTGTGCTGTTACAAGCAAACCATTAGCCACGAGGTTCTCCAATAGCTCGTTATAATCAATGGCTTGGATCTCTCGAAAATGCATCGCGATATGGCTAGGGAGCCATCTCCCAAAGCCGCCAACAAGGATTTGGTGTGCATATCCACCAAGAGTACTGAGTGCCATACTGCGACAATTTATATCGAAGGGAAGTGGGAACTTTGGGAACGGATTCAACTGCTGTGAGTCCTATATTAATCAAATAAATGCACATGACATGCTGTAAACTGCACATACCACATCTGGATCATCCAATACAAGTGTTATATGAGCCGATGAACATGCAGAAACCAGGATATCGATCGATGTTGTGGATACAGCTGGGTGCTCAACTGCATTGATGGAGGCATCAATTGCACTTAGTAGGTGCTCGAGATCTTCACTGCCTCCACATCCCTGTAATGCTGCACAAAAATCATGCTTGCGGCATTTTGTTTTGTGATAGGTCCTCCAATCGACTAAATAGCATGGTTAGGGCCGCAGGACTCATAAAATAACGGAATACAAACGAAAAACCAGGATATCTGAACACTGGCCATTCTTGAGGGCTTCAAAGGTAACACCATGAGCTGTATGCAATGCCTGCCGATCATCATCATCAAAGCCATCACCCATGTGATCCATCCAGAGGTAATAGTCCAATGCCGGTGATCTGAAGTCTCCATGGAGCAGATTTGGAGATCCTCCAGCATTGTCCAGAAATGCGATGCGTACTTCATGTAAATATTTTATGACAGAAAGATAAGTATTTCGGACAGTAGTAGCTTCACCACCAGATGAATCCCACAGGTGTTCTACTACTTTTTTGTAAATTCCAAACTTTTTGTTCAGGGCATACAGGGGTAAGTGATAGTGAGCCGCTATTGGACATCCCTTGCGTGATCCAGTGACCTTGAGTGAGCATTGTCCATCAACATCTTGAATGGTCCATTTTGTCTTCAAAAACTGTTTTGCATCATTTGAGCTCCATTCTTGGAAGTAACACAACAGATTCATGGAGGGATTATGTGGATATGTCACTGCACCCAACTGATCGTCCTTCATATATCTAATTCCGCTGCAATCAGAGCTAATATTCCTTATATTGTCAATGACAAATTTGTGTGTCAATGCAGGGCTGGATACAAGGCGCTCATCAAATATTGCCATTGGAAGACATAGCGAGCGCTCAAACTGCTGACAGGGTGAAACATGCACATCACCAGAATTTCGACTGAAATAAAGGCAACCATTATCTCAGGGAAATCTCATGTAATCAGAAAATAAACCGAATGTAGACAAGCGCCCCATGTTTCCGGAAAATAATCACTTTGAATGCCTGGAATTCCTCATATGTACATACATACAACGAGCTCCCTGTTTGAAAATCGCTAAGTCCCACCTATAGTACAGCTGAAGGGCACACACTCACAGTATTCCGTGGGCGCTCATCATTGTCTCTCACAATGATGGCGTGCATTGCATCCTGCTTTCTCCGCAATACTCATCATCTTCGCACTGTTTACAGTACTACAGCTTGCCTGGGACAACTAGGAAGGTTTAGTTTGCCGTTGGAATGCGCTTGGATGGTGTATGTGCAGCCAATGTTTGCTCTCTGCAAACCGACACTTGAGCAACTCAACAAGATTATGGACAGGTTTGTGAGCGAAATGATTCAGCCATATTCTGGTATGTCATGCTGTTTTAAACAGTGAGACGATCTATCTATGTGATAGGGCACAAGTATCGAATATACGGACACCGCGACACGAGCACAAGTTTCCTGTTGACTCTGTTGTCAATACTGAGGTGTCCGATTCACCTGCCAGCCGCAAGCTCGAGGGACTTGCATTGCTTTCATAAAAATTGTTTATGTACCCACAACGTGAAACACCATCATATTACCTTGCTGATCTGCTTGGCTTTGATCTAGAATGTAAGTTATTGTGACTGACATGTATCTGTTCTCTGACTTATTTGCAGGTTTCAAATTATGAGATCCCTGGGACTGACACTCTCATCCTTTGCTTTGGATACCGTTGTCGCTCCTACATCCTCCTGGTGAGTGCCTCGGACTGCAATACTCATATCTGACTCGAATGCCCGAGGTTGAAATGGGTCGAGGAATGTTGCAGGACCAGATCCACTATCTCCCACTTCCCATTCAGCTGGTCATGGTCGCTTTCCACCAGCCACACCACTGCTAGGTATGGTTTCCGGCTTCCTTTTCGTGCCTGCTGCTGATCATGGCTTGATAGTACCAGGTGGCCTGAAGGAGACACTGACTGGCTGATTGGGCACATTTCTTGTGAGGCCCGCCATAGCTATGGTCTGGAAAGGGTGCAGCATAGGTGTACAGGTCAAAATGTGCAGGATGCGAGGCTGGAAGAACGGAATTGAGTGCATTAGAGCGATTCCTAGCCTACCACAAATTGATTTGTTTCGATTAGCTTGATCATGTGCAAAATATGGCTTCTGATTATTCAGGGGAAATGAGTTCCTTTATTGAGCGATAATTTGCTGATGACTTTGACAAATGGTAAAACATAGGTTACTTGTTTATCTTATGGTTATCTGCTGTATGTCTTTCCGTTACTTGATGTTTCCACAACATTGTCCCCTACCATTATTTGACCCCAATTTCCAGTGCATGGGGCTAAATATATTGTAGAAATGGAGTCACTCAATCAGCGATGTATCATATTGAGACTGATTGAATTAAAGTTCTAGAGAAAGGCTAGATAGCTGCAGCCTTTGTATAAGTGAGACAGTAGTATTAAGGAACATCTTCATCAGCAATTGGGAGCATCGCTTCCTTTAGCATGTCCTCCCATCCATCACGTAGTCGTCCAAGTGTTGCAGCCTCCTCTATGAGCGCATTTCCCCACATCAATAACAATGAATTGCCCACTATTCCACATGGCCCCCCTCATCGAATTGGCATTGTCAAGATTGATAGAAACTGTGGGTCGAAATGCGCATCCAGATACATGGATGATAGGCTAGCCTTTACAGGTTTGTGTAGCCGACACCCATGAATTTCAAGGCATGGCTCATTGAACCACTGTTGACACTTTCGGCAGTATCATTGTAGTGTCATCGGTGATGAGAATGGGGGATCACACTTCTGGCATGCACACTTAGTGGCTGTCTGAGTATTCTACATATTTTATGAGGTTCAGGACCGGTAGAAGCAAAGGGTATTCACATACATGGACATTCACCCCATCAACTGAACCATGCTTCCTGTCCTTCGAGAACTGGATATTGATAGTCCAACGATTGTATAGAGTCTTTAATGGTTTTTGAGGCTGCTCTAAATCACCCTCATCATATGGCAGAATAGTTGCATGATCTGAAGGCCATGCAGGAAAGTCGATATAATTGACAGATTGTGTATATATCGATAGAAACATACCCTCAACACAAGACATATCAACTATGGACCTATGATCACTGAGGACAAGCTCATATTCACCGACACAGGCCGCAAGACTAAATGAAAACATTTGTGAAAAACATTTCAGTGATTGCAAAATAAAAATGTACTCAATGCTTTCATCTTCTAAGTCTATTCTTTGGTAATAACATTGAATATTCAGCCAGACGTCCTGTCGATGTATATTTAATTAAGTAATGTAGAGCAAAGTGGCGAATACACATGCCTGTACTCGACCAGTCTTCAGATATATCTCAACCACATTACCATACCAGTATGACATTACTGGAAGACTCCCATCTTCCATTGGAACTGCACGTTTGTCGGCTGGATCTAATGAGATGCTGCAAATGGTCCATAAAGATCAATGTCAAAATACACAAACAAAGTCTTACTCTTCCCCTACTCGAATTACCATCCTATCATCACTAATACAATCAGGGTCAGTAGTTGAATTGTAAACCCCTGATTATACAAAGTCATATAAGTTGACATTAGCAATTGAAATATCACTGACAGGCTAGAAATAGACGTACATTCCAATGAGGTGCACTGTCTCAATGTGCGAAGCTTGGGATGATAGCTTCGCATAGGAGGTAATTTTCTTCTCCCATCTAGATGTGATGTGCAGCTGGTGATTGATGGTCGGCTGGACATAAGGATTGGAATAAGCTTTCAAATGCGAAGAAGAGGGATGAGCGTCCAAATTCACATTCATCTGGCTTTTTTTTATTGCTAGACACATGTGCTGCTATCGCATATGGCAGACAGATCATAAATCATTTGTGGCGAGACCAGGGGGCTGTTCTTATGGCATACCTTGAGGTGTTAGATCATCCCATGGAGTAGATCGGACATTATTTTATAAACTGTTCATTTAACATTCAATTGAAGCGAAACCTTAACAGAACCGAAAAATGCAAATACTACTACAGTAAGGGCCCAGTGGCTGCATGGGGATTCCACATTTAACAAGCGATCACCTGGCCCAGATTTATATTCAGTTGATGGAGTGCGTGATTTTGACACATGGATGGTCTAGTGCATTGTTGAAAATGATGTGATATAAATATTGAGATGGTTCCCTGAGTGCGATGTATCACTCATACTGAGGTTCACAATGTCTGATGGCCGAAGAAGATTCTGTTGATATTCTGCAGCAAATATTTGAGTTGAAGATCCTGGATTGGGACCCAAAAGGTTCAAGAATATTGGACACTCATTATGAATAACAAACCTGCAACATTTTTGCAGCAATTGAACATTGCCAAAATGTGAATCAAGGGATGGATGATGTCACAAGGCACAAGCCAAAGAGAGGCAGGCCAAAGAAGTGAGTTGTACAGCATTGTGAGTCCATGTGCTCAACAACTATTTATACTTTCAATTGATCCTGTTGTGCAGGTAGCAAGCCAAGCACACACCTTCCAACAGATGAATCAGCTCAGAACATCAAGAATAAAAATCACCATCTCATTCATGCCACAGCCAGCCCAATACCAGACCATTTCAAAGCAAAGCCTCACAACCCTAATATTAAGGGAATTAATCAAGGATTCACAACTATAATATGCAATGATGAAGAGCGGGGGGAGCTTTCAGGATGAAGAGTGGGATGAAACTGATATCCTGCAGAAGATCCTTACATCTGATATCTTGGATTGGAATCCAGAGTTTTCATCAACTGCAAAGCATATCACAGATGATGGATTGAATGTAGATGAACAGGTAATTGCAAGGTTGACAGGAATATCATACAGGAATGACTGAAGTGAAGGATCATTCAAAGGAACATCACCCTCGGTGTCCATGTGGATGACCAGCGAAGAAACCAACAACACAAGGTGAGTCACTACATGTAACCTTGACATGCAATCACATGAACATTCAAGAAGGAAACAAAGTCAGGAAAATTGTTCCTATGGACAAAGTATCATCAGTAGAGGATGTGCAGAATGTTAATTCAGGATACCTGATCAGGGCCACCAGCAACCCAGTGTATAAAGACCAACAGGCAAGGACATATCTTATGTATTGTGTGGGTGATATTGATGTGTTACACAGGCAGATCAAATCACAATTGACGAACATGTCATGGAAGAAGAACTTGTCGCATCCAATGATGATATCCCATCTATGAAGGAGGATGCATTTAGAAAACATGTATCTCCTACTAAGTGATATTGAGGGTGTCCAAAAAAATGAGTAAGGCATGCTAGAGTCACCAGTCAGTCATGTTGTAACTCCTTATGAAAGGCAAATGCCATTTAAATTGAATTTACAGAGTCCACAAACCTTGTGAATCATGAATCATCCTTGATGTCTCTTGGATTGGACAATGCACAAAGAAATGACGACCTACAATGCATGAGGTCCTGTGAGCATAAATGATCCTTCATCTGATACCTCGCCACGGTATTAATGCTTTTGATTAGGAAGTCCGGCACCATCCATAGGGAGAGTAGTGGATGATGAATACAGGCCATCTCCATCATTATTAGCCACAGTACGGTCACCATCAGTTGAGGTTCAAATACATGCAATAGCTGAACTGACAGTTGAGGAAATCACCTGTGAGCTTAGCACAATACTGATGTAACTTGAAACACTAAGTCTTCCTAACCACAGCTCGTGTGATGGCCCAACCATTGTTTTGGACATCTGTCTGGAACAACTGGAGTACCCTTGGGGTAGACCAATGGCTGGACACCACAGTGGCTAATTTCTATTTGGCCCATCTGTGGTATGAGATGAATGATACATCACACATGAGATATGTCGATGTATATACAGCGAGGATGAACCACATAACAGCTGAAGAAAAGGAGCTCTTCAAGAGGAATTATTTCCTGCCTCGTGAAAGAAGATGTCCAATGGTCCCTGTTGGATTCATAGTGCATCATTCTCAATATTTCTTTGCGGTCATATTTGACTATCAGCAACAGAGAGCTCATGTACTGGGTCGCCACATATCTGAAGATGCCATGAATGTTGATGGAGTGGATCCGCATGACTGGGAAGATTGGGGTGGACCGGAATATTGGAGGAGAATTGGAGACCTTCACGAATGGAGTCTAGGGGACGCTTCTGATGTCTCTGTGATCACAAAGGATTGGATGCAGAATGGACTCGACTGTGGACCAATTGCATGCTCTGTCCTCAAGCAATATCTTGCCTCAGGAATCAACGAGGGTGGCAACTTACCTGTGTTTGTAGTCCAATGTGGCCATGTGTTGTGCATGATTGCTGGTCATGTCAAGCTCAGCTGCAGCGACTATCTCATGCTTCTGGATAGCTCACGAGATGATTGGAGAGAGGATGAGTTGCCAGATGAACATCTCATCAATGACATTCAGAATGGAAGGCACCAGGCCAAATGCCTGCAGCTCTTGCAGAAACTGACTGTTCTCAGTACAACCTGCCAAATGTGTCAACGTCCCATAATCAGGATGGATGGAGATCAGCAATCAAATTCTGGTCAGGATGGGCATGGAGCCATAGTGGATGAGGATGGTGTGGATGATGAGTGGAATGATGATGAAGACGCACTAGGAATGGCCTTACCACCTGGGAGAAAGGAAACCATAGCAAAGCTTTTACAAGCAAATATCCAACTGACTGTATCTCGGGATCGCAAAGCTATAGTACCTTGTTCTATTGGGACACACCTTCAACTCGAGCCCGAGATTCCACCTGATCTCAATGGTAAAGCTGATTCACAATGATCCAAGTCTGCCTTGGCAACTCGTAGAAAGGTAACAAATTGGAATCTAGTAAGCAATAGGCGATTTCCACATCCGATTGCTCCATGCCCCTTAGTGGCATACACTGGGAGGAGGTGGCTTCAGGATGACCGCAAATTTGACGACTATGAAGATGGACCTACAATCGAGATGTTGTCAACTTCAAGGGATATATCTCGGACAATGACAGTTCAGGCTGGAGGATTGAAGATCTCCACTGCTTGGGTAGACTGGGTCAATCATGGGTACCACATCACCCCAGGTTCATTCCACATATTCTATCAATGTGATCCTATAGCCACTATGGACCACATCATGCCTATCGGTACAACCGACTCCTATGATTCTGCAAATCAGGTTCCAGATCGCGTCACAGGTGCATATAGCCTTGCCAGGCGAGGGTCAGCTCAAGCAGGAGGCCAGAACACGGAGATCACAGACGTGGAAATCATGTCTGCCTCTGAACTCATTGACTCTGTTGAATACGATCCACCACTAAATGATGCATGTAGGTTCGGACACAAATTCTTTGTCTGTGGCTGCACCAGCCTTCATGATGATCATGGTCCTGCCCTGTATGTCGACCTCGAACGGGATGCAGTACAATTTTCAGAAGATGATATAGAGATATTGGTGGACATAGACAGTATAATTTGGACCACAAAGGTATTCCGATGCAAGGGGTCTGTTGGGATATATATCACTCCGCCATTCCAAACAAAACCTGGCATATTCAAGCACAATCACACATATGTCGACATCCTCATTCCACAGTCAGAAGAAGATGCAAGGGCACCTGGTGGGAGAACAGAATGGTTGTCGAAAAGATTTCCGATGTCTGCAATTCCTCATGCCTGTATTGGGCAGATATCATCAGCTTCCTCAACACTCAATCTTTATATCGCATTTCCAAGGATGATCCATACACATCTAGTGAATGGTCGAAGAATCACGCTAATGCCCAAAGATGTCTTGGACATTTTCTGGGATAGAGTTCTGCTTCCATCCATAGAAAATTCCACAGACGTCAGCTGGGTACCATACATAAAGCACACATTGGAGGAGGCACGATACAAGTCATGAGGTACAAATGGAGGAAAGGGTCGATGGGGATCTCCAAAGGCCATTCCTCTGTCAGATGATGACTTCAGGGATGTGCAAGCATGCATGGAAGATTGTGTACACGATGGAGAGAGTGAACTCAGCATGTTTGGATCATTCTTCTTCATTCTCAAGGGCAAGGGAATAAAGCTGCTCACAAAGGATGGTCAGAGGGGGCGATTTTCAGGACCAGAGGAGGCATTGTGTCGCAATTTATCTGACCTTGATTGGACATATATGATAAACCGGAAGCATGGAGAACTGCTTGTAGATGTGGGGATCTCATTCACACCGCACTCCACAGATATTCCAGTCATAGGATTATGGAGATTAGATGCATTGGAAGCATTATTTGGGGCAGGAGGATTCAAGAGAGGGGAGATACATCATCACAACACACTCTCAAGATATGGGGCATTGCAGGCCGAGATGCAGCAGGAGAGATCCCAGCAGATGCACATCGCATTCAGGAGCACCTACAACCTATACTACAAGTCGATCAGGACAAACAGCAACCAAGGTAACTTTGCTTCAGACAGCGATGCCTACAAGCTCTCCCCGTCATATATGACTGAATGTTTTAAAATTGCAAAACCTCTGGATGGTTGCAAGGACAAGATGTATGGTGTCAGGGATGAGTATAGGGTCAGTGGACATGTGGCCAAAATAATACTGGACAATATAGACATCAAGGTCAGTGATATACGCTTCATTCATAATTTATTTGTTGATTGAGTGACTTGGGCGATGATTTCTATGTAGGCTAAGGAATATTTGCAATCAGATCCAATACTGTGGATTCCATCCAAGATCTGGTTTGAGCTTATTAGGAGACATGTGAGGGAGATTCAGAGAACTCAAATATCCATTGTGAAAAAGAATCCTCCAAATCTCAGCATCCTCACTGGCGTGCTGAACCACATGCTTCGCTCGACCACATCAACCCCTATCATCTATGATTCTCATGTCCATGAATCTCTTGCCCTTCTTTATATAGAAATGTTTTGGAGACCGCAGGGATGTTTTTCCTACAAGACTTCAACCTTGGAAGCGAGACGTGCTTGGAGGAGGTGCAGCAAATAGATGATGTGAATGTGCTAGCCCTCATGGGTGTAAATGCAAAGGATCACAGGAATAGAGCTGTAGAAAGGATCGATTCATGGAAGAACACAGGATCAGAAGAGGACTATCCCCTTGGTCACACACCAACATAGACTCAACTGAAGGCAGCAATTCAAAGCTCGCCTGGACTGATAATGAGACCATGGTCATGGTCACCCAGGTTGCTCAATGCTCAACTAGCTGTTGGACGTCTGATTGTCATGTTCACTAGGCAAACATGGCTCATGCTGATGGAAGATGTCTTGAAAGGAATTAGGCCCTACCCTAACAATCTTAAGGAGGCAATGAAGTGTTGGATGACAACCAGCATCGATGACACTCTTGCTTCAGTGGCCTTCGAAGTATGTAATGCTGGGCTGCAGGATAATAGAGGTGTAACTCCAGGTCGCATGAGTCCTAGGTCGAGGGCATTTGGGGACCGTTCCGTAATGTTCTTTCCTGATCCTGAAGCCTCATATAGGAACAACACTCAATGGTCTTTGCTGTGGGATGGAGATGGATACATTACAGAGTTTCACAGGACGATAAAGACAATGGATTGCTATCAGCAGGCAACACTTAAGCAAGGATTGCGCGACGTATTTTCAGAACTTCATTGTCTTCCTGCAAGTGGTGCAAGGGTGTGGACACAAAAGAACAATGCAATAGTGTTCACAACAAATCCTGCATTTTACAGGATTCACTGTGTTGGAAGGGCAGGCGAGAGTCAGAGGAAGGTCATCAAAGGATGTCACACAATGAAGCTGATCAAAGGAAAACGCATCTTCGCAGCTGACCTGATGGATTTCCAACCATTTGATGTTGATGAGAATCGGAGGAGAAAGACGGAGAGGCAGAAGTGTCGAGAGATTCAGAAGAAAATGACTATGACAAGGAAAAACAAGAGGGTACCCCCTCCACTACGTCCTCGCATGTCCAGACCATTTCCCATGGATGTGCAAGAAGATTTAGAAGATGATGTTGCCATGGACATTGATTAGTACATAGATACAATGTAAAATATATCAGTGCCACTGCTATGAACCATCTAAACATACTGGTTATACCACATGTATTTATGAAGATCATATTCTAAGATTGGTCACTCATAGTCATACTTTCTCAGCCAATGTTTGAATTTGTCGGTCATTATTTGATTTGTATCAATCCAATTAGTAGTTATCCTTGGTGCAATATGGATGGTTTAACTCATATGAAGGGTGACACAAATGGAATAAGCTCTCAGAACTGCAAAGAAAAATATATATGGCTTAGAAAGCTGGAGAAAGAAGACAATCCAACTATTATAAATGATTCAATCTTTATGCAAGGTGATACTATCACAAGAAACTCCAAGAAGTAAAAATGTTGACACCATTATCAATTCTTTGACCGTCATGGAGGGTGACACCAACAATATAAACTCCAAGAATTACAAACAAACAACAAACAAACAAAAAAATTTAGCAAGTGAGAATGAAAATGTGAGAGAGAACAATTCAAAATGAACTCTCATAATATTTGGTATTAAAAAGCCCTAGGCAGTGAAAATAGCTGGTACCATTATGAACATTTGGACAGCCATAGAAAAGTGACAACCAGCTAAATCAACTGAGAAAATTGAAATCACTGGCCCAATTATTAATAGTGAGACTCCCATGGAGGAGCCACAACCAGAAAAAAAGTTAAAGGTTATAGCTCACACCATTTTCAACAGTGACATGCCCATGGAGAAGTGACAACCAGCCAAAGAAGCCCTCAGATCCAGTTTAGAACATGTCAGAAATAGAGTGATATAGAAAGGGGAAGAAAGAAGCAGCAAATATTTGGTTCAGGTTCACCAAGGTTTTGTGCATGTCAGTAGTGTCACCCCTGTAATGTTGCTTCATGAAATGATTGATTTGTTCAGCCTTAGTATGACTTGCCTGTATTTCAAAAATACTCATTATAAAGGTTAATGGACCCTAAGATACTGATCACAACACTCACTTAGTGAGAAAACAGTGTGTTACAAAGTGATGCTGGATGTCAGCTATGTCACCCATGTGATGCTGCCTCACCAAATAGTTGATCCTTTCAGCCTTTAATAAATCCTTGATTAGTGTGAGCCATGATGTAGCTGTGAGCTGGCTTTGTCTCCTACCATCCTTCATGCCAGACACAGCCAAACCAATGGCAAATTGGGTAAGAGAACTTTCATAGAGTCTAGAGCTTCCTGCCTTTTCAACCAGATGGAGGCATCCAAGCATGTAGCAAGTTCCTCGAGGGGAGATCTGACTGTAATATTTGCTGCAGTGCAGCACTGCTTCACTATAGGTATAAGTGTACATGAGTGGTATATATATATATTTGAATACTGGACTAGGCCGGAACGAGAATCAAGAGCATATGGCAAGGTTAAAATACTTCAGTAAAGCAACAAATAAGACCGTCCCATACTTACAAAATAATATAATATGGGACATATGTGGGCTTGTATTGCAATGTGTTCCAGCGGGTGTTGGAATCCTTTATTAGTGTGAGCCATGATACAGCTGTGAGCTGGTTTTGTCTCCTACCATCCTCCCTGCCAGACACAGCCAACTTAATGGCATATTGGGCAAGAGAACTTTTATAGAGTCCAGAGCTTCCTGCCTCTCCGACTAGATGGAAATCATGGCAGGACAATGATTTAAACCTAGTCCTTCCCAACTCTGGGGGGAGGGGGGGACATCTCAACCACCAGACCATCCAGTCATTACAGTGAGAGACAAAGATGTGAGGAAGGCAAAGATAGTGATTTCACGACTGGTGCATGTCTAACATAGATATCAGAATAACAGGTAATACAGACTCTGCTTCATCTTGACTCACCAGTATGAGTTCACCTGTTTTCCAGTTCCATACAGCAAGCTCTGAAGTCTTGTCTTCAATTATAAACAAGATAACAAGGAACTCGCTACACGTTTGGATGCTAAGCTAAGATGGAAAGACCATGCTATAGCTAAAGGTGCAAGTCATGTTCTCCAGCTAAATGGCCCTATATGAAGAGATAGTCTAGTAGTCAAGATGTCTCCCAGGAGTCAGGAAGGACTAGGTTCAAATCCTCGTCCTGCCATAATTTCTATCTGGTTGGAGAGGCAGGAAGCTCTGGACTCCATGAAAGTTCTGTTGCCCAATTTGCCATTTGTTTGGCTGGGTCTGACATGGAGGATGGTAAGGGACCTTGGGCATAGAGGATAAGTTTAAAGATGAAAGAAAATAGTGGTGTATGAGCGTGCCATGATTTCAGCTTTCAATATTTGAAACATATTTCTGTTTTGACCATATGAGTCATTTGGTGACAGCCTTTTATTGTTGAAGTGAGAGCTCCAGCTCTGACATGCTAAAAAAGCGACCAGACTCATTATTTGATGGACAACTAGGTTGCGCACCTACCTAGTGCATAAAGCAATGATCAAATTTTCAGGCTTCATAAAACTTTCTTTGCCTCACAAAGAACTAAAGATAAAAATCCATAAACTAATGTTCTTGAATACCAAATTTACTGATGAGCAGCAAATTAGCTTTCAAGAACATTGACTTCACAGACAAATAATGACAGGACCATGATTAGAACCCAGGCCATCTGAGCTCTAATATGAACGTCTTTACCACTAGACCAACCAACTATGCAGTGAAAAGATCCAATTGTATCATGGTTCAAATTTGACTACCCAAGTCATGCTATGACCGCATGCTGCTTATGTAAGCAGTGTCACTGATTGATTTTTTTTTGGCCTCCATTAGACTTACTTGGCTTCAAATAGAGCTGTCACTTGAGGTATTTGAGCCCTATGAATGTGATGATAATACTTTTTTTGTTCTAAAAAATCATGTTCAAAAGTCATGGATGTCTGTAATGCTGAGGTCCCCAACCTAAGGTCGATTTTTTCAGGCCATATGACTCACATGGCTCGATATCAGGCTCATTAAAAAGGTGATCAATCGATATATATTATATTCAGCAGCAACAGAAATTTGATAAGTCAAAGTATTGTTCTAAATTTGCCCCAAGTCCACCGCTTTTGCTTATGTAAGCAGTATCACCCCTGTCATGCTGCCTCATCCAATGATCGATTTTTTCAGCCTCCATTTGACTTGTATGGGTGCAAATAGCACTTGATACAGAGCTTATTGATGGATCTGAATGTGATGGCAATGCTAATTAGGTCTAAAAAAATCATGTTTCAGAGTCATGCTACCCCCTCCCCCTACCTACTCCACCAAGAGTCATGATTTCATGTCAATGCTGATGTACTGAAGGCTGTTCCTAGTGTCTAATGACAATACAAATAGATTGTGGATGGTTTCAGAGTGTTTTAAACCAATATGGAATGTGATGTATGAGTTTGCCTGATACCCCCCCTCAGAGATCAATTTTTTTAGGCATCACATGACTTGCCAGGATTCCAAGAGTATCCTTACTGGGGGCTATTGATTCCTCTGAACAAGATGGTCGAGCCCGTTTGTCCAGAAAAAATCAGGTTGTTGAGATACACATGATCCTCCTCCCCCCTCCTACTTCATATATCTTGTTATTATGTAAATACCAGTATATAAAAGGATGTTCCTACTGTTTTTCAATTATATGAATCAATTGAAGATGGTCCTAGAGTGTTTTGAACTCATCCTGAGAAAAATATGGAAGTTTTCCTGGTATTCTCCTCAAAGATCAATTTTTACAGGCTTCCCATGACTTGCTTGTGCTCCAAATGTATTTTTCCTAGGGCCTATTGAATGCCCTAAACAGGATGGTCAAGCCCGTTTGTCCAGAAAAAATCATGTTCTTGAGATACACATGGTCCTCCTCCCCCCTCCTACTCCATACATTCTGCTATTCTGGATTATGACCTAAGACCAATACTGTAAATGATGGTCCCAGTGTTTTTAAGGCCTAGGAATCGATTGGTGATGGTCCCAAACTCTATGGAGTGCAGGAATCATGAGATATGCTATATGTGCAAAAAAGTCAGTATTTTGGCAATATCTCCAGATCCCAACCGCCATTTTCTTTCATTCCAGGCTCATATTGATCCTTGGGCATTCCTCTAACATATGTACCAGCCCAAGAAGAGAACAAAATTTCAAACTTTGAAACCTATTTCTGTTTTGACCATATAAGTCATTGAATGTAATCTAACACCATTACTCACAATGCCTGCTAACCAAGCATATCAGCCCAACTACCTTAATCACAACCACCCAGCGCCCCAGCACTACCAACCGCTACCTCAATACAACTATGGTAACCAAGCGCACAATGCCGTTCTGCCAAATCAGGTGAGTGGCCAGTCTGCATATGCAGAACCACTCATATGTTCAGGCAGGTGCAGATGCAGGTGCAGGTACAAGGCCAGCTACAAGGCTAGGCGCAGGTACAAGGGCAAGCACAGGTACAAGACCAGCTATAAGGCCAGGTGCAGGTACAAGAGCAAGCAGAGATGGAAAATGACCCTGAGGAGAGGGTATTCGTGGTGACGGAGGAGGTGGAGGTGAGTGGATCCTACTGGTCCCCTCTGAGTCTCATGGGGATCTAGCGTTTATGGGCTTGGGCACTAACTATGGCTCGTGAGAACATCCGTAGAGTCAACCAAGGGCTGGGCAGCATGCGTCACCCAGCGCATGGAGAGATGACGTGCTATATGCTAGGATTACTTTTAGAATTTCGGTGGGCAGAGCTCAGGAGAGAATTGGACAAGTTGGTTGAGATAGAGTACGTTCTGGCATTGAGAAATCTGGGGGGTAGGAGGTGAAGGACATGGCAAAGGGGTAGGGTCAGGTGGCTGGTCACAAGGATATATTCAAATCACAAATCCCCACTCACATCATAGTTAAGATATCCACAAGCGCCAGCTAGAAGGTTTCATCTGATCAAGTGGATATAACAACCCAAATGTTAGGATTGGTTTTGTTGATAACAGGTCCGATACCTTCCATGTCTGAATAATCGCTATCTTCCTCCCAGGGCCCGAATTTGAGCTTGACTCCAATTCTGAGGTGAGAGGTGTCCCTGGGCGGCTGACTAGCAAAGCATATGTTAGTCGACCTTGTATTGGATCAAACAGATCGTAAATGTACATGTGCCTCATTGCCTGCATTTGGCAGGAATGAAGTGGGGATTTGCAGATGCCTGCTTACTCGCTCTAGCGAACATCTGTTGTGCACCCTGTCGCCTTCCAGTGCAGTAAATAAGTTGGACGAACCTAATACAACTGTCAGACTTGAACAAGGTAAGATTGGACGGGTTAGAACTAAATACAGGGGTAATAGAAGTTACAGGAGGTTAGTAATTAGTCAATTACAATGGTGTCTATGGCTTCTTCAATGGTCCGCAAGTCAATATGTGCCCAACGCCTGTCAAACATTTTCAGATCCTTCGCAATGTCCTCTGCTCTGACCCTGACACTCTTTCCTCTAATACCTCTTGCACACATGATATCTCGCACAGGTTGAGCGAGGAGGGCCGCAGTTACGGGAGTGTATGCCTCATCTTCCTTGTAATAAGGCAGATCTGACAAGTAAGCATCGTCCTCAGGAATCACGGACTTGGCAGCATCAGGTGATGAAAATATCGTGCTAGAGAGGGGAACATCAGATGGAGCCTGGGAGTTCGCTGTGTTGGTTACAGCGAAGTGGGATGGCGCTATGGACACAGATGCAGTTGGGGCATCCGAAAGTCCATCATAGAGTACTATACTTCCTCGTTCATAAAGCTGGAGTACTGCCCACATAAATAGCCTCTTCATCTTGGCGTGCGGGTGCTTAGAGCTAAAATGAGAGATGTTCGACTTCTGGGTCTGTCCTGCCTTCTCTCCCCCTGCGTCTGGTGGAGTGCGCTACCGCATTTCAGCATGGACTACCCGACTGGCAAGAAGGGCCAGCTCTGGGATCCGACGTAGATATGAAAGCGTAATGGGGCCAGATGTAGACTGCTCTGGTGTCTGCATCAGAAAAAATTGATGATAATCAAACTGAGGTACATCACCGGGCACATGTCGAAAACAATGCTGTAGATATAATTGAAAGGTTTCATCCATGAGGTCTGCCGTACGCAACTGAGATGGATGCCGAAACTGAGGGGGGTCCTACACAACCATGTTAGTGAGGAGTAGTATATGGCCAAGCACTTACTGTTGAACCAGGTATAACAAAACTTGATGACTTAGAGGCCGCACTATGCATCAGAGGAGAGGATGGCTCGCGCAATGGACACTTTGAGGGAATCAGCGACCGAGGGTGGACCTCAACCGGCATCGTGAATGGCTTTGGTACTGAGTATTTGGACTTGTGAAGTTCGACAATGGTAATGGCATGTGTCCATTGATTGTTTGTCGACTCACAGGCCTCTGAAGGGTCAGTTGAGAGTCAGAGAGACAAAAAGAACGCACTTATGGATTTGGCATTAATTTGTCACTGGCTATGGAATTCTGTGACTTTACCGATTACTTCTACAGGGTAGCCAATAGCAGTAGCAGGAGGCGGAGGAACTGGAACTGGAGAGGGAGTGGGGCGCCGTCTGCTTGACCATAAAGCTGCTCTTGCATTAGCATCCAGCTGGGCCAAGGGTCCGGGGTGACGAAGCATACAATCAATCACCTCCGTGGAATCATCAACTTTACAACAGGAATCAGTACTGATGCCACAGGGGAACTGTCAGCTCACCGGTGTACAGTGTTCCTTTCTCGCGCATGTCAATTCCTACCACCATGCCAACAATGTGCACAATTTGACAGGGAATATGTCCCAGCCAGTAAAAGCTGGATCTAGGTCCTGTAGTTGGTTGTTATTCAGTAAGCTTTTGGTTGGGATAGCAGAACTGACCTGTGCTAGTGCTTTCTCTCATCGAATAAACATCTCTAATGAAACATGGGGCCGTTGGTTGGGCTTTATGAGTCCACGCGCAGATGTCCTCTGCAGATGGAGAGCTCGTCTGGTTAGACTCTGAGTTGGACGAGGCTGATAGGGTTTTCAGTATAAGAAAATCTCTGGCATGAACATAACGACTCACATTCTAAAGTATTGGCATTGACATTGTTGCGCGCTACCTCTTGAAAACAAACCTGCTTGATTGGGCGTGCTTTATCCATGGTTAGTGTTACGACTGGGGTATGTCGAGCTGTCTTAGTCCGAGTGGACTGAGATTCGGCGAGACAGACGTGGTTCTTCTCTCGAATGAGAGTTCAAAGGTTTCTGGCTAAGGCAAGTATCGGCGACTTCCTTAGAATAGTGGTTCTTAGATAGCAAGGTTGGAGACCTTGCTAAAGGACTTGTTCCAGGTAAAACCCAGTAGATTAAAGTGAAGAACTACATGTGGTACGCTATGTGTCTATATAGCGAGAGTTCAAGCGGAGCTTGTAAATGCGTATCAAGATAGAAGGCGGACAGCCCGCTTGGTAAGTGATAAGAGATAAGAGATAGGAGATAGTAACCATGGTGTGGACAGCCCACTTTGATAAGAGATAGTCGGCTAAACATAGTGATGGTTACTGGTATGGAAGGTTATCTTGGCGATGATATGAGTAAGGGTCTGAAAAGTGATTGGTCGTTCGTTAAGGGCCGTATCCATGTACCATTGTCCGGTAACAAAGGAGAAACGAAGAGAATGAATATACCGTAACATTACCCCCGCGTTATGGTCGATGTCACCGGCATCGACATCACTAGTTGTCCTGGTTTGCATAGTAGATGGGGTCGGCGTCGGCATTGTGGAATTCCAATTCCTCCGGCTGTACCAAGTACTCCCTATTGGCACGCTCTAGATCCTCCTCTTCTTTCTTGTCTTTCTCTGCTTCCCACGCGGCTAACGCTTCGTAGAAGCCTTTGTCAGTATATACCAACGGGAATGCTGGTTTGTTGGTGTCAAAGGGGCAGTAAATGGAGAAGTGCCCGGGTTTCGTGTCACCACAGAAGCAACAAAAGTATAGGGGGCAGTTCTTATGCTTGTGACCGAGCTTCTTACAGAGTCGGCAGATGAAGTTGGCGTCAGCGATAGTGCCGACGATCTGTTTTAACGAGGGGGATCTGATGGAGATACTGGTGGAGGTGATAGTGGAGGGTTCTTTGGTGAGGTCGATGACCTCACGCTTCTTTCCTTTGGATGCTTTGTTCTTGGTTACGCCGTGAATGGCGGCTCCGCCGCGGAGGTTTCTTCTCTGGACCTTGCTGGGTGCTGGGACAGGTACGGTGAAGGTTCAACGATACAGCAAGGCACAAACAATGCTCCTGACTGTACCTATAAATGTTGTAAGGTCACGCGTTGCCTAGTCTGCTATACTTGAGACGACAAGTGCGTTCGACCCTAAAGGGGAAGCGAGTGCAGCAAGGATCTAGAGGTATGCGCTGAAAGCGCTACTGGTTGGCCAATGCAAAGCGCGAGAAAGCGCAGGTGCGCGCAAGGCGCGGGAATGCGCGCGTGTATGGCGCGAAGCACGGGAAAGCGTGCGCGTGTATACAGATATGAGAGAGAGTAAGAGTGAGTTTGCTTAAGAGATGATATGATGTAAGACAAGAGAAGAGAGATGCGAGGTGTAAACAAATAGATTTCTACTATGTTCTGCTAGGTGAATAGTGGGTAATAACCAGTAAGTCCTCTGTCATTCTGGTGGGAGAGTAAGTTTTTTTTTTTTCATAGTATGTACTGCTGGCGCTTAAGTATGGCGCCTAAGCGCTGTCATGCGGAGCCGAAGCGCTACCGAGTAAGGTATGTAAAGATATATGTAAGTAAGGGTCCATGATAAAAATAAAGATGGAACGATAAGCAAATGTGAGAAATGGAAATATACGCACTAGGGAACTTGGTGGACAGTGGATGGATGCTTCTGGATGGCTGGCGCTATAGGGCGCTCAAGCGCGGGAAAGGTACGCGCGCATGGCGCGCATTGCGCAGGAAAGCTGCGCCTCATATAGAGATAGCTGTGGGTAGCACACAGAGTGATGCTACAAGTTCGTGCCATGTACTCCCCAGTGAAAACTGCCATATTGCACAATGAGAGGCATGAGTCTCTACATCTCCCAGGGACTTAAATTCTGAGTGTCCCCACTCAGCGCGTGTGTGGTGAGGATCTCGAGTGATAGTATGCGAGTACGATGCATGTACGATGCTTGGGTTGTTGGGCGATGAATGCGCACGCGTAGGAATGTATCACATGGTATGCACAAAGCGCGGGAATGCGCAGGTGCGCGTGAGGCGCGAAGGTGCGGGAAAGTGCGCGCGCATATGCGCTCGAGGCGTGGGAATGCAGCATAGCATGGCGAATTGCAAGGGTGACTCTGGTGTGAATAATGCACCATGGGTGTGAGGCGATGATGTGAGAGTGATATGGCTGTGGTGTGCGAAGCGTGGGTGAGGCGCGCGCGTATGGCGTGAAGCGTGGGAGAGTGCGCGCGCATAAGGCGCGAGAACATGCGTGAGTGTTGCATGCGCTGCATTCTGTGGGGGCGCAAGGGGCTGTTGCACAATGATCTCTGAGTCCAATATGCGTGCATGAGCATGATGCAAAGTGGCGCGGTCCAAGAGCGATCCAATCCATGTCCAAACCAAGTCCTGCTAGGTGCGCTAAATATTAGGTGCTAAAGGTTTGAACAGCATGAGTAAAACTTTATGCGAAAATATGAAGAGAAAACAGTAAACTTTGCGGATGTCCTATCCGACTTGTCTTCTTCGTGCGGCTGTCGACATCTACACCTTCCTATGAGCAAGGCGCGGGAAGCGCGCGCGCACGTGAGGCGCATGGGTGCGGGAAGATTGCGCGCATATGTGCGCGTTCTAAGGTAAAAAGAGCATGGTGCCGCGTCATGCGTGCGAAGAGAAAATAATATCCTATTGAGCTAGGCGGGCACAATCTAAGGTTGTTTTGGTGTTTTTTTTTCTTCTATATTCTTCTAGGCGATCCCTATATGCATATATATCTGTGTGTTATTAGTCCTTTGGATGGTGTTATAATGAGAGAAAATAAAAATGAAAGAGCACTGGACGAAACCCAGGGTAAAACGAACGGTATCCTATGAAACAGCAATGGTATGTGTTTTTCTTTGGTGCGCAGCTGAAGCGCTTGAAGCGCGTGGTGTGTGTGGCATAGGCGAGGGTCAGAAGGCGCAAGGCTGGCGCGCTTGGGGTGCTTGGTTCCTCTTCATCAAGCCTTTTTGATTGTGACTCCGAGGCGGGCTAGTAACTGGCAAAATGAATTCCTGCACAACGCGCTGCAGGTTGAAGGCGCGCCAATGGGAGGCGCTGCAAGGGGTGTAGAGGTGCTCTACAAGCTGATAGGATGCGCGCGATGTGCGCGCCTTGGGGCGATTTCGCGCGAATTCGATTATATTGGCCGAACACACAAGGAACGGCCATTTCTCTGCAAATGTGTTAGCGAGAGACATATATAGTTTGGAATTAGGCGCAAATGTTGCGCGAATGGGCTGTAAGGGTGGTTTATCAAGGCGCAATAGGCGCATAGGTGAAAGAGAATAGTGCACGTCAGGGTGTGCAGGAACGAAATTGACATGGTAAGCAAAAACATGAAGAATGCGAATAAATGTGGAAAGTGCGAAGTTGAAGATGATGATGGGGGAGTTAGGCGCATATGTATGTGTCCGGCGCGCGCCTAAGTCGCGCCTGGATGGCTGATTGGAATATATTTTGTGTTGAATAACAGAAATGTGATTTAAAAGGGGAGAAACAATAGAAATGCGATAGTGTGAAAACTCTGCTAAAATTATGAATGCGCGAGGCGCGGGAATTACCGCGCGATGCGCGCGATCATGGCGCGTGAACAAGGGTTGGTGCGAAGATGAAATTAAAGTGTTTGGAATTCTCATATAGCTCCTTAAGAGCTTTAAACATGAAAGGGACAAAAAACGCGAAATGAGATGAGGGAAACTATACAATGCCTCTAGGCGCGCGCATTGCGCGTTCTCAGGCGCAATATGGTGCGCCTGAGTCATCCCAGGGTCGCCTGAGACATGCTCTGCTTAGTGGTTGGGCAGTGTGATGCACGGATGCTTTACTGGCAAGGGATAGTCACTAGAAGCAAAAAGCGCGATGTGCGCGTGATCGTTAGTGACAGATGGAATTACCAGAGGCAAAGTCTGGTTGACGCGAGGTGCAACTTGAGCCTCTGATGCGGTAGAAGGCTCCTCTATAGGCGCGCTAAGGTGCAATAGATGTTTAGGGTCATCCCTGACCTCTGGCGATGTGAACGGCGATAGCGGTGACAGTGAAGGCGTGATTGGCAAGATTTCTTCCTTAAGCGATGCAATAGCGATAGGCGAGTGTGTTTCAAGCGATGGCGTAATAACTTCCACAATGGGCACGTTATTGTGCAATAGATGTTTAGAGTCATCCCTGACTATAGGCGATGCGATAGCGATAGGCAAGCGTGATTTGAGTGGTGCATTGGTGTGCAATAGATGTTTAGAGTCATCCCTGACTAATGGCGATGCAATTGCGATAGGTAAGTGTGATTTGAGTGGTGCATTGGTGTGCAATAGATGTTTAGAGTCATCCCTGACTAATGGCGATGCGATTGATGCTGACATGGGCAGCAAATGCGAATTGTCAGCGTGAAAAACAGGGGAAGAAAGAGATGATGATGGGGGCAAAGAGGCGCCTGCAGTGCGCTTCTGGTTGCGCTTCGCGGGCGCGCGCTTGAGTTTGTGATCTAAAGCGATGCAGTCTGGTATAGCTTTGTATGCTGGCGCAGTTGATGGTTCAGGTGAGCGTGAGTCGCGCGAAGGCGTGGGAAAATCGTGCGCGCGAGGCGCAAGAATAGGAACTGGTGGCCTTTTGTCAAGTACAACATCTGAGGATGCGCGATAGAAGAGTCCAGCTGTCACACTAGCGCTAGTGGATATATCCTGTGTTGCGTGGCTCGTGTAGTATTGATCTTTGCGCTTGGTTACCATGGCTTGCACCGGTGCTTGCGCTGGCGCGGTCGCTGGGACTAAGTTCGCAAATGGCACTACTACAGGCGCGTTAACTGGCGCGCTTGGCGCGGGAAAAGCGCGCGCAGGTAATAGGAACTGTGCAGCTGCAAAGACGTCCATGAACGGATATGGGTCATGTGGATAGTGGTCAGGGAACTTGATCATAAGG